CGTGTGCGTCTTTTCCTCCTCGAGGGCCATCGAGGAGCATCCTTGATCATGTGGCGAAAAAGCCACGCACGAAACCGAAAAAAACACAGGGAATGGACGTCCGAGCGATGGCGAGGATCTCGGAGGTGCCACGTGCGCGCTGCCTGCCCGCCCGAAGCGCAGACGTTTCGTCGGTGGCTTTGTGCACCCGCACCCCGGGAGGCACGCGAGGCCTCGATGGCGCAGGAGCCCGCCAGCGTGCTGCCCCTCCGCGGTTGTCCGACGGCCGGGTGTCTCTTTGGCCGCAACACGCCTACGGGTTCCCCATCGCGGCGCGTCGTCGGTACTCATCTCGCTCCCCCAGCGGCTTGTCTCCAGTCGCCTCCGTCATCGTGAGAACTCTGGTCTTGCTCGGATCCTCCCCGCTGAGGACTTCAAGCGGCTGTCGGACGGGGAGGACTTGCCGCACACACGAGGAGGAGCAGGAGCAGGAGCAGGAGCAGGAGAGGGGGGAGCGAGACCAGCCTGACGTGGAGGGGGACGCGAGCAAAGCTCTCCAAGCCCACCAGCACAGTGTAGTTGCTGTATCCATGCAACCGTTGCGCAGTGCTTCACTTATGGTAGCACCTGCTGCTTTCTCAAGGGGTTGCCCCCTTTTGAAAAGCAAATGCCCACTATCTCGATACTTTATTGATGTCCAGCTTCAATCCGGTTAACTCGTTTAATTTGCAGGAACCTCGAACGGCAGCCCCGTGATGAACATGTGCCGCCATCTACGAGTGTAAATGTTTCGACGTTCGACGGGTATGCGCGTCACTACTGAGACAGACGCATTTGGAGAAAGCCGACCGCCCTCCATCCGTGTACTTGTGTGAGCTACTTAACACGCATGTGCGCGGAACTCGGGCAAGTGTTACGGTGAAGAAGCATTACCCACCATCGTCCCGTGTAGTTTGTGCAAGATTTCCAGCCGAATGTGCGCGGCGACTGGAGTAAGGAGAGCTACATATTTACATATATATATAGATTGAGAGAGAGAGAGAGAGAGTTAGACAACCAGAGAACGAGAGAGAGAGAGAGAGAGGGAGAGCCTTAAGTCAGAACGCGCCCGCCTTAGATCCTTATGACGGTTCGACATTTCAAGGTTTGGGGTCATAATGCCCGTGGAAGTCTCATGCAAAAACATTGGTCTTTCCTAACAGCACATCTTGGGGAGCGGCGGGGAGGAGTCATTCATAAGGAAGAGGGATGACGAACGTGGGGCAGAGGAAGCAGGGGAACCAGGAGCAGGGGGCTGAGGAGGGAGGGCAGAGAACAGATGAGCAGGAGGTACATGATGCGGAGGACAGTAAGTGAAGAGCAGGATTAGCAGGAGCAGCAGCAGGGCAATCTAGGACAGGAGTGGAAGGATCGAAGGGGGATGGGAGGGGATAAGAAAAGGGAGCAGGAAGGCGTGTTGGGGGACGGGGATGAGGGAGGGACGATGATGCAGAAGTCGTTGGATCTTCGTTGTGAGGATGCAGGATGCATCGAAAGTGCCAGCCTGGCCAGGATGAGGGGAGACTGAGACAGCAGTCTCTGTCGCGAGCCCGCCGGCGATCCCGGTGCCCTCATGGCCCCTATCATGGGAGACGACTTACTTGGCGTTCTGATCTTCACCGTTATTCCATGGTTCCCATCACAGCCTTCCTTTCTCACCGCTCGCACCGTTCCCCTCCCCTCCCCCTTCCTTTCCCCCACTTCCCCTTCCTCCTCTCCCCTTCCTCTCTTCCTCCCCGTGCTGTTCCGCTCCCCTCCCCGTTTTTCCCCCTCCTTTCCCCTCCTCTCCCTCTTCCTCTCCTCCCCTCCCCTTCCTTTCCCCCCCCTGCCCACCCCCTCTCCCCTGGATGTGAGTGGAAGGAAGCAGGCTAGAAGGCACCTGCTATGAGCGGGTGCTACCCTGCGCGCTTGCCCCTGCGTGGGGAGAGCCGGTGCAGGTATCGCTAGAGCGCCGCGCAGCGCGAGCGACCTCACACACATTGAACCACAGCTGGGCCGCGCTAGATTTTGAACTGCTACGAAGTCCTTGTCGATGCGCAGCAGCCCCGAAGTCGGCCCCGATCGATCGATCCCGCCCCGCACCCCTCCCTCCTCGCCCGGTCACTTCGTTGATCCCCTCTTCGGTGCCCGTTGAGCCTGTCGGCCATCCCGACGCTGGAGGAGGTGAAGGACCCCCAGAGGAGGAGGAGAAGGATGAGGAACAGGAGGAAGAGGAGAAGGGAGGAGGAGGAGGAGGAGCAGGAGCAGGAGCAGGAGGAGGAGGAGGAGGAGGAGGAGGAGGAGGAGGAGGAGGAGGCGTTGAGCCCCCGAGCCGCCCAGGCACGCGCCTCTATCTGCCACCGCGCGGCCGCCCATCGGCCTGGCCGGCGGCTCGCGGGCAGGGCGGCCGCGTCTCGCAGCTGCCCGGGGTGCCCTTTTTCGGCCCGCCTGAGCGGTCTCGGTGGCAGCCGTCTTCTGGGCGAGGAGGGGGGGGACGCGGGGGGGCCTCCCCCCCCCTGCCTCCTCCTGCTGCTCCTCCTCTTCCTTCCGTAGCCATTTGGGGTTAGACTTTGACGTTCACAGGGAACCAAGTGGATACCGCTAGTCCGCGGCAGTGCCAGGGCCCTGCGCCCGACAGTGTTTCCCCCGGCGCCTGGTCCGCCCCAGGTTGCCATTCGTCCAATTATTTGATCATTGTGGCTCTCACTGCCTGGTTGCGGCCGCCATGGTACCGCCTGTTGGCCGCGCGGCCAGGGAGAGGGCGGCCAAGGCGAAGCGTTGGGCTTGCAGGTTCTGCATGCATAAAAGAACGGGTGATCCTTGGCATGAACATGCAGATGTTACGTTTTGCTTTCTCTGTGGGAGTGCTAAAGGTCGTGTCTGCAAATGTGATCTGGCTCCTCCTGTGCCCAGCCAGCGCGCTCCTCCTGCCACGGGTGCTGGTGCTGTGCGAGTTATGGAAGCAAAGCAGAAAGAGTTGGCTGCCCACCGCAAGCAGGTTCAGCAGCTATCTCGGCCCAAGTCTCCTGAGGCCGATGCTCCTGAGCAGCAGCCCCGGACTGATTCGGCAAGTGGCCCTGAGCTGCAGAAAAGAGTTGGAAACTTCCGAGCCAGTGCTGGCGGCGCTGGAGATGGCTGCGAAAGTCAACAGGCGTCGAGCCGAGTACCTCTTCTGGCTACGTGGACGCTGAGACCTCGGTTCGGCAGCTGCGCCAGGAGATCACTGCGTCCAAGCCCCTGGGCACGCAGGTGCAGTGCATGGGTAACAATCTCCAGCTGATCGACCAGCATAGTGCAAAGCTTAAGCTGGCGATTGACACCGAGGAGAAGCGTCTGGTGGAGAAGCAGAAGTTGGTCCAAGAACTCCGGCAGCAGGTGGACGACAAAGGAAAGGCGCGGGTGCAGCCGCAGTTTGAGCAGATGGAGCTGCTACGCCTAGAGGCACCTGAGCAGCATGTTGGTGCTTCTTCTGCTGACGATTCAGCTGTGTTTGAGGCTTTCTCGGCGAATTTGGAGCTGCTGCAGGCCATTGTACAACAGCTGGCTGGTGGTGCAGTTGACTGCTAGTTGTTCGCAGTATGTTCAGCCATGGATTGAAGCAGTCAAGAAGGCGAGAGACGACCATGGATTGAAGCAGTCAGTATGTTCAGCCATGGATTGAAGCAGTAGGTTCAGCTGTGGAGGTGCAGCGGGCTATGCAGCAGCGGCAGCAGCAGGCACAGCAGCCTCCTTCTGGCGGGGATGCGCCTGCTGCTCAGAATGCCTTTGAGACTTCTGTGCCCGAGGATATTGGATTTGAGGACCTCAGGGCATTTGTGGCTAGCAGCGAGGGCAAGGTCTCCGAGGGCGTGGCCGAGGTCAGGGCGCAGGCCAAGCGCCAGCTCGAGTCTTTCAAGCAATTCATTGCGAAGAAGATGCGCACGGGCTCAAGCACTGGTTCGAGTGTCGGTGATAAGGATGTCATTTGAAGCAGTTGAACAATCCATGGCAGGAGCTTGCTACCACGTATCATCTGAGGTTGGCGACGACGTTGAACAGTTGCGCGCTGACCCTGGGTTCCGCCTGGGTGATTTCTGTGGGCTGCGTGGCGATCGCGTTGAGGGCAGCGACGTTGAGCCGTCGTTGCTTCGTGATGGGTCCGCAGTTGGAGCAGGTGCCCACTGCGGCTGCGGCGCACAGGGTCATGACCTCCTACGCGTCGGCTGCGACATTCCCTGGTTCTGGAGGGGAGGAACATATCCTGGACAGAGGGGGCAGGGATTCAGCCCCTGGAAGTCACGCCCCTCTGCCCACATTTTCTTCGGCTTCGGGGTCTACGACTTCTTCCAGGGGGGCCGCGAATGTTCCCCCAGGTGGCTTGGGGCGTTCCTCCCCTGGGCTGGGGACAATGGCGAGGCAGATGAAGGCTTTGGCTGAGACGGCGGCGGCGAGCGCTTCACTCGCGGCTGCTGCGGAGTCGCAGAGGTCGCCACATGTTGATCAGTTGCCAGCTGGAGCTCAATATCGCGCGCTGGATTCTGGCGTTCGAATGCAATGTCCTACTGTGCCATCAGGGCAACTCGGCTCAAGGTTGCCGCGTATGCTGGAAGGCGTCAGAGAGCAAAAATCAAATGTGCCATCGGGCTACCAGGCGCAATGTCGCCACGTGACTCAGGGTGTCCAGCGGTTGCTTTGGCGTCTGGCGTGGCCGTGGAGGGCGCGACACTCGCGAGGCCCCTGGGCCCTCCGAGCGCCGCGGGCCCCTTTGCGAAGACCGCTGTCGGCGCTGCCGTCGGCGGCGCCGCGGGTCCGAGTTTGGGGCTCGTTGCTGACGTGAGGGGCGGGGAGCGTGCCGCTGCCTCGCGCAGCGTTGGCGGGGTCCTAGGTTGCCTAGGTTTTCCGCCCACATATACCATGCTTAAGTGTGGGGTGATCGCGGCCAACGTCACGTCGCATGGGTCGTTGCTTGGGTATCTACATACAGCGCAGCAGGCAAAGGTGCTGCTTGCGCAGGAAGGAGCGCCATGTACTGCCAGATCGCCCAGCACAAGCGCAGTCTCAGGCTCGAGATTTTGGTTCGCATGGGCTTTCTGGGCCGGCGCTTCACCTGGCCCGACGTCGGCCGCGGGCTCGATCGCAGGCATTGCTATGCCGGCGCGCGCGGCCATCTAGATTTCGGCTCCAAATCTCTCTGATCAGGAAGTGGTCCCAGGAACGTTGCTATTTGCCTACCTGGATACAACGGATGGCACGGGCCCCACCAGCACTGCATACATGTGGGCAATGGTCCAAGCATTCGCGAGGCTAACCCTGTTCAGCATGAAGTGGGCCACGGCTGCCTTAGCCATTCCTTTCGTTTCCGACACTGATACCTGTCGACTGGCCACGCCTGGCACGGCGCTCGACTATTCCGTTGTTTTGACGAACCTTGCATCCAGAGTTGCGTCGCAGGTGTTGGTTGACGAAGGATCTATCTGGACCCCGCATTGTCCACCTCAGCTACCGGTGATGGCGCAGGATGCACAGATCTGGAGGCGGGTCCCTGATTTGCCGAAGGCGTCGGCGGCGCCGCCTGGGTGCTCGAGGCGCCCTTATGAATGGGGCGCTCAGCTGTTTGCAGATGTGACCGACACGCAGGGACTCGCTGCTTGCATGGGCCCCTGCGCGTGCGGGGTCGAGCGGGAGTTAACCCACAGGTGCGACCATGTTGGGGCCAGCGCACTTCGGCATGCTGGGCGCGCTGGCCCTCCACGCTTCACATGGAGATAACTCAAGTGGCAGGTTCCACTGCGGCGCCGTTACAAGCAGTTGCAGACTTTGGCTTGGAAGACGGTGCTACGACGGATGATGCATTTACAGCGAGAGCGCCATCGGCTTCGCACGCATGTCTCTCGGTTGCAGTCTTCCAGTGTGCTGTGCGCGATTGAGCCGCGGCAGTGCGCCGTGCTTCTCCAGGCGTTCCACGAGGTCAGTGGGGTCATCGCAAATGTCATGCGTAGCCGCGTAGTGCTGGGCTTTCTTCCAATGCAGCTGCAGTCGCTCTTTGCGTCAGGACTCGAGGTATTGGCGGCGCCTGCGTATCGGTCGTTGCTTGAGCAGGTCGGGCGCACTGCCGCTGCGATGCGCAGGAGCGACCAGAAGGCTGCCGACCATGCTTGGGTGAGGTCCCAGCGGGTTGCCTTTCCACGAGGGCGCGTCAGTTGCTCATCGGGCCCCCAAGGCTCAGCCATTGGACCAGGTTGTTCCTTCTCACGCGAGACCCGCAGGGAACGCAACCGACGGTCCTGGCCAACAGGGGTGGAGGTCTGGCAGTTGGTGCGGGCGCGGCGTGGATGCCTCCCCGCGGAACCACCCGCGGAGGCTGTGACTTGGCCGCTCCCACCAGCGGTGGACGCGCTGACCTTGCGGCGGGTCCTGCTTACCCTTCCCATATCGTACGTCGACAGGGCCTTGCGCCTTACACCCGCGTTTGATGTGGCATCTATCCGGCGAGACGCTGGGCGTGATGATTCAGCTCTTGATTGGCCAGCGGACAGACCATGGTCAATGATGTGTCGTATCCCGAGAGCTGACGGAAGACACAGGCTCATTGCGGTGGCCCACGCGTTCCAGAGAGTGCGGGGTCGGCTCTGGTGCAGCATATCCCGACAGTGGGAGCGTGCTCCTCGAAGCATGCGCGGGGCAATCGATCGCGGTACATTTCCTCGGATTGCGCGTTTGCGCACAACCGTGGCTCGGAAATTGCCGCGCTGAGAGCCCATTTTGCTGCTGCCGTTCTGCTCGACCTCACTAAGGCTTTTGATTTGGTTCGGCCGTCGCAGCTTTTCATGGAAAGCATCGCGCTTGGATGCCACCCCAGGATGGTGCACATGTTACTGCGGCTGTATCGTCTCCCGCGACGCTTGAAGGAATCTGGCGTCCACTCGGAACCGTTCCAGGTCGACCAGGGCATATTGGCAGGGTGCGCGCATGCTGTTTGCCTGCTGGAGTTGCTGACCCTGCGGGCGAGACTACGGCTGCGAGAAGTCCATGGTAACGTGGTGCCTCGGGGGATTGTGGGTGCTGTTTCTGTGCAGTACGCTGGTGCTGATTCTCATGGGGTTAAGGCCTTGCGGTTGACCGTGGAGCTGTTCCAGGAAGATTCACGCATTCTGGGGTCCTGCTTCAATGCCAAGAAGTCTGGCATTGTCGTGGGCGCGCAGCCCACGAAACGGCTTGCCAAGGGCTCAAGTATCGGTTGCACGGTTGGATGCGCAATCTAGGCCACGAGACTGTGGGCGTGCGACCCCTACGTCTACAGGGGGAAGTCTCGATTGCGGGGTCTACAAGGGTGGCGACATCGGCTACGGATTTTTCAAAGAGTTGCCGGACGGAAGGCATCGGTGCAGTGGGGGGTTGGTGCGCAGCCAGCCGTCGCTCATGGTGCCGGGGTGTCTTGGGATGAGTAGCAGTGCTTTGATTGCGGCACGTTCGGTCGCAGCGACGGCGGTCGGAGCCTCCCAACGGGCGCACAAGACAGCCTATTGATATCGTAAATGGCAGATCCGTTATGGTCTTATGTTTGATGCGACGAGTTCCCTGTTTGTGCAGGTGCCACTGCGTTGTGTGTGATTGTCGCGTTTGTATGAGTGGGCTACGCCACGCCTGGGAGGCATTCGTTACCCGTATCAGTGACAATGAACTTACCTGGGCAGGGGTACGAGGGCCCCTTGGCGCTGCCTGCCTGACACTACAGAGGAGTGACTGGGCTTTTGTTTTTTTCCGCAGCACTGGCGTAATGATATTGGAGAGGCTTACGGTTTTCTACGCGTAGCACCAGATGCAGTCAACCGGTTGCAGGTGCAGAGGCTGGCGCATCACTGGCCCGTCCATGAGTCTACCCACGATGTTTGGGAACGGGCCCTACGACTTAGTCATGCCCGCGGCGGTCACGGCCTTGAAAGGCTAGAAGTCGCTCCGTACCTGCGGGACGAGAGCTAGGCTTTTGAAGGCTGAAGCTCTGGCGAACGCAGACCAGGTCCTTGTGGGCGCTGGCATGCCACCGCCTCTCCCCCCTCCTGGGAGCCCGTCTGGTGACGAGGGGGCCGGGGCCATCCGTTCCTTCAATGAGCGTGGGCATTCGGCTCAGAGGACTGGCCGAGTTGTAACATGTGGGAAGTGTGGTGGGTTTCTGGTGTTGCTTCATGGGGTCGAGGGAGCCTTGAAGGCTACGTGCAAAGGGCCATCCACTGTACCCTCGACCCGTGACAAGCAGTTGCGATAGATTGCCAAGGCCACCGAGGGCCTACATCCGACCACAGGCAAGGCTCTGTCCGAGGTCGGAACCGCCTTTTTCCGACCCTGTGCCTGACCTGCCTTCGGAGCCCCTCCGAATGGAGGTAGCTGTTCCCCGGGTGGGGGAGGCTCGGGTGGAGCGGGCGGAGGGGGCTTCTGATGACTCTGGCTAATTCGTAACATCGGCCATGACGACGGGTTTCCGTGGCCTCGGCCGACGCAGCTGCCGCCCATGGTGGCAGCCGTCGCCTCAGCCTGTGGGCGTCCGTTACCCTGCGGACGCCTTCCCGTCGGCGCCCACCTCCTCCTCCTCATCCTCCTCCTCATCCATTCCTTTTCCTTAGACGTTGTTCTTCCCTGTCGCACCCCGGGGCCAGTTTTCCGGGCGGTCCCATCCTTTCGCCCGAGACTTCCTCACCATTGACGACCCAAAAGGTAAACACACATTTTCACGCTTCGGGTATCCCCGCCAGCTTGCTGCTTAGGGCCTAAGTCAACCCGCTGTTCGATAGTTGCGCGTGTTCGGACGGCGCGCGGTTGGACCGCGACGCTCGCGAACGAAAATATCCCCACCAGCCCCTCCCAGAACAAGCAATTTTGCGAGGCGTACTGGCTGTCGTTGTTTTCGGGCGTGCCCTCGCCTGCCCTCGCATACACCTTCCTGTTCCTCCCGCGTCCCGCCTGCTCCGGGGGCCTTTTCGGGGTCCTCGTGGTGCCCCTTGTGGCACCCTTGGGGCGCTTCCGGGGTGTATCGGGGCCCTGTTGGGCCCCTTTGGGGTGGTTATGACAAGTCTTTTGGGACCATCTTGGAGGCCACGGCGCAAAACGGAAAGCGGCGTCAATTAGGGCGCACTGGCCCCCCCCCTCGGAACCCGAGAAGTTGCCTTTTGGGGCCCTCTTGGGCCGCTCTTGGTGCGCTCTTGGGCGCTCTTGGGCCCGTTTTGGGCTCTTTGGGCCCTGCCTTGGAGCTCTTTTGGGCCACTTTGGGGCCATCTTGGAGCTTCAGGAGCCCATTGAAAGCGAAAAGGCGAGAAGGCTGAGAACATTGATTTGCTTCAGGTGTTTGACGGATTTGGGCCACTCGGGGGCGTCCTTGGGGGGTTTTGTGGCCACCTGGAGACGTCTTGGAACGGGCTTGGGTTTTTTGGGGGCATTTTGGGCGCACTCTGGAGCCGTCTTGGGCCATCTTCAGCCATCTTTGAGGTCATCTTGGGCTCCGTGAGGCCCTGTTGGAGCCATCTTGGGCCACCTTGGACGCTCTAGCGACCCGCGCCCCCTCCCCCTCCAGGCCCAGAGGGGGGGGGAAGAGGGAGGGGTCAAGACACCCAGCCGCCCGCAAGCCGTGTGGTTCACTCCCACCCGCCCCCCCTATACATAAGTAGCACCCGAAGCTACCGGGAACCAAAGCCGACCCCAGGTGCGCGACGTTCGGGCGAGGTGCGCCATTGTGTCTGGGACGCCACGCGCGCCAGGCACCTCCAAGGGCCCGAGCGTGCCAGGCAAGCCTGTTGCGCCAGATGCGCCACGTGCTCCGAGTGCGCCAGGCGCGCCGCGCACTCCAGTCGTGCCAGGTGCGCCGCGTTCGGGGCACGTGCGCAGCGCGTCAGGTGCGCCTGCGCACGTAACAGAACACATCGGGAAACAAGTCGGCCTCCGCCACTTTTGTCGAATGCCGATGCCCATGATTGTGTCAGCTGGGCCTGCACACAGCAGACCACGCGCCACCAACCCCGTCGCCCCTGTCAAAAACCACTTGACAGCGATCGCGGGATGGCCGCGCATGATCCAGATTTAGCCGCGAGGTGCATGTTGTATTGTATGGGTGGTAGCCCTGCGCACACCAGGGAATATGCTGACACCCTCGCCGTCCTTGTCAAAAACAATACGAAGTGCTCGCAGGCCTGACGAGCATACCTCAAGACATTGCCTCAAAGCGTACGCCGCATTGGTTTTTGACAGGGATGTTGGGGGGGGCGGCGCATCGGGTTGGCCGCGCATGCTCCAAATATGGAGGCAGAGTGCGGCTTGTATTTTGTTTTGACAGGGATTTTGGGGGGGCGGGTGGTCATGGTGTCGGCACGGTGCCTGATTTGGCCCCCGGTCGCCTGGGGGAAGGGGTGTATACTAATAAGGAGCAATGACAAACACCCCCCCCAGAAGGGAAAAAGGGGATTGGACAGAGGGGGTTCTCTAGACCACTCACGCCCAGAGGGCTGGTGGGATTGACAACAGTTTCACAGATGGAAGGAGGTTCGTTTTGAAAATGTGGCTCTCGCCTCAGCGCCGCGCACATTCGATTGTTTTCTGATTGAGGGTGGGCCGTTTTCAAAATGTGGCTGTCGCCTTAGCGCCGCGCACACTCGTGAACAACATTGAAAGAGTTTCACGGATTGAGGGCGGATGGTTTTCAATATGCGTTTCTCGCCGTAGCGCCGCGCACATTCGTTTGTAAAATTTGCACCGGTTTTCATATTGAGAGCGATTATTTTTCAACATGTGGCTCTCGCCGTAGCGCCGTGCGCATTCGTTTTTAATATTTGCAAGAGTTTCGCGGATTCACATGATCGGCGTACCAGAAATGGTGCTTTGAAAGGACTCAGGATTACGAGGATGCAAAGGTTCCGTTGATTCGCGGTGTTGAAGTCCCAGCAGTGGTGTTCTGGCATGAGTCAAGATCGTCAAGACGCAGCAGTCAGGTGTTCGTGGCGTTGGAATGCCGACGACAATATTTTGCATGCTTCAGGGTCATCAAGCGGTTGTCTTCCAACGAGGCAGTTCCCTGTGGAAATGATACGTTGTATGGGCCAATGAAGTGGGAGCTTGGAGGGAGGTTTTATTCCAACATCGTTGATGACTCTCGAGGGTTTCACTGGTCCTTCTCCTGCTCCTCCTCCTATTCCTCCTCCTCCTCCTCCTCCTCCTCCTATTCCTCCTCCTCCCCCACCTCCTCCACCTCCTCCTCCTCCTCCTCCCTCCCCCTCCCTCCTCCTCCCCCTCCCTCCTCCTCGGCGCTTCTTCCGCCGTGCCAGGGATGCCTTCGCCCTCACGATGCCGCTTCCAGGGGGGTTGGGGGGGGGGTCCCTCCTCCCCGTCCTCCAGGCCCCCCCGGCCCGTTCGCTTCCTCGGAGCTGTGCTGCAGGAGTGTCGTGCAGAACGCAAGCGTCTCTGCAGGTTCCATCCCCCCTCGCCCCCACTCGGCCTGTGTTCGGCCCCTCGGAACTGTGCTGCGAGCGCAGCGTGCAAGCAGAAGCGTCCCTGTAGCCAGGGGTGGTGGTAGGCAGTCGATCAATCGTCCCACGGCCGAGGGCAAGCAAGCAAGCTCCATCCCTCCTCTGGCATCAGTACGATGCTCCTCTGATTCTCCTCCCGCCCACATTCCTCCCCCTCCCCCCTCCCCGATCCTGAGGGGGAGCGGTAGTGGGAGACCGGCTCAGGGTGGGACACATCGAGATTGGATCGGCGATGCATCGCCGATAGATTGGAGATGCATCGCACGGTTCTGTGAGGGGCTGGCTATCGGGCCCCCATCGGCGCTGAAGAGGCGATTGGGTGTCGATGATGGGTCCGGGCAATTGCAGGGCAGTTTGTTTTGCCGTTTTCGGAGATGTGTTTGGAACGCGGAAACAGTAGAACACGGCTCCCAGATTCGGTGAACAGGTTGCCCTTGCATCGGAATCGGAATTGGACAACGGAATCGGCGACGGAACCGGGGACAAATTTCGCCAGAACCAGCACCAACAATTGCAAAACGGAAGCGGTACGCATTGCCCCGTCGTTCCCGGGGCCCGCGAACGGGGGGACCTTTCCTCTCACTTCTCCTCCCCCTCATCCTCCACGCATCCTCCTCCCCCGTCCTCAGATGGGCCAGTTTCCCACCACACCATGGGAAGGACGGGGGACAAGGGAGGATGGTGAAGTCTTCCTCCTCCCCCTCGTCCTCCTCCTGCTCCTCCTCCTCCTCCTCCTCCTCCTCCTCCTCCTCCTTCTCCTCCTCCTCCTCCTCCCCCTTCCCCTCCTCCTCCTCCTCCTCCTCCTCCTCCTCCCCTTCCCCTCCTCCTCCTCCTCCTCCTCCTCCTCCTCCTCCTCCTCCTCCTCCTCCTCCTCCTCCTCCTCCTCCTCCTCCTCCTCCTCCCCCTCTCCTACCTTTGGTAGTGGTGGTGGAAAATAGGCCTACGTAGCACCCCGCAGTTGCGGATAAGAATGAGGGGGCGGCGAGGACGTCGTCAGTCTGCGAGGCTCTGAAAAAGCCCGGCGCAGTCGCTTAATTTTTGCAAATTGCGCAGTGAGCGCGCCGCAGGCGCCGATTTTTTCGTTAAAGCAATGTAGGTGGATCGCGGGGTGGGTCGCGGGTGTGTCGCGGGTGGGTCGCGGGTGGGTTGCGGGCCGGGTCGCGGATGGGTCGCGGGTGGGTCGCAGGTGGGTCGCGTGGGTCGCGGGGTGGGTCGCGGGGTGGGTTGCGGGGTGGCTCGCGGGCGGGGTCGCGGGGCGGGTCGCGGGGTGGGTCGCGGGGTGGGTCGCGGGCGGGTCACGGGTTGGGTCGCGGGGTGGGTCGCGGGGTGGGTCGCGGGTGGGTCGCGGGCGGGGCGCGGGGGGGACGACGACAACAACAGCAAGCATAATCCCCAGCGCGGATCCTCTTTCGGCCACGCACCCAGGAACAATGAATGACCTCTCGGCCCCCTGACTCTGATCATCCTCCAGCCCTCTTCCTTCCTCTCATCATCCATTCCCCTCCGCCCTCCGTCCACTCATCCCCACTCACAGGCGCTTCCAAGCGCGCCCTGGCGCCTCCAGACGCTGGCGCTCCCAAGCGCTCCCAAGCGCTCCCGGGCGCTCTCTCCTTTCCCATGCCTGCCCCGTCCTGCCCCCCTCCAGAAGAGCAAGAGGTCATTGCAATGAAATGCTCCAAGGTTTCCGAGACTCCCATGGTTTCTAATCTTTCGGAATGTTCCGTATTTGCTGCGCCGCTACGTAACTCTGGATTTTGGGACGTGTCCCGAGCAAATCTCGCCCTGCTCTTCGCCATCCAGGCCGCAGCACCCCCGCGGCGGAGGTGGCCTCGTGCGCAGCAGCAGCCGGCCCTCCCCCGCGCGCGCACGCCGCGGAGGACCTCAACGACGCGCTCCTGGACTTTTTCGTGAAGCTTGGGCAGGCGCCCGTCGACCCCTCCCACTCACACCAACATCCACGCCCACGCCCGCGCCGACGCCCACGCCCACACCAACCCCTCACCCACATCCACACCCAACCACACACCCATCCTAACTTCTTATGATTAAGCACCCCACATCCCCACCTAGCCGGCCAATAGCAACCCCGCCGTCGTAACTGTCGAACAATCAGCACCAACTTAATTTTTCTGCTTGCCAACATGTCGTCGAGTTGCGAACCATTTGGAAGGATTGGGACGGAGGAACCATCGTTTGGGTAACCCCAAGCGGGTGGTCGCGTCCTACCCATCAAAAACAATACAAGGTCAACGTTTTTCTCGTCAACATTGACTTTCTTGTCGTCGACGCTGCGAAAAGTGTAGCAAGAATTGGACGCGGCGCACATCGCGCGCGGACGCCTGGCCAACTCTACGCGGGACCCCCCGCCCTACCTTTCAGAAAACACCGCAACGTCGACGCTTTCTCCTGCCAGCATGTTTTTTTTCCTCGTCGGCGCCGCGAATCGCGCAGCGGGAATGGGACGCCCCGCGGGTTCCCCAAAGGCATCCTCCTCTTCCTCCTTAGTTTCTCCCTCCCTCCCTCCCTCCCTCCCCTCCTCCTCCTCCTCCTCCTCCTCTTCCTCCTCCTCATCCTCCCCCTCCTCCTCCTCCCCTTTGTCCACGCGCGGCAGGAGCGAAACGATTGGCGGTGCAACACGCGTGGCTGGAATAAGACGCGGCGCACTTCGCGCGGTGGACATGTTGTCGCCGACGATGCAATGTGAGAGGCGGAGCGGGGCGCGGTGTACATCGCGCGCGGTTTTGTTTCTCGTCGACTTTGTTCAACGCGCGGCAGGACTAGGACGCAGTTCGTGTCGCGCGCTGAACGTCTAGCCGCCCACGATACAAGATGAGCGACGCGCGTCGGTCGCGACGCACTTGCTTCTTATGTTGTGGGAGCCCTCTGGCTCGTCGTTCGAGCTGGCTAAGTTGACACCCGCCCCACACCCACACCCACACCCACACCCACACCCACACCCACACCCACACCCACACCCACACCCGCGCCGACGCCCACCTCCACGCCCACGCCCACGCCCTTCACCCATCCGCGCAAGGGCTCGCGACGGGGGTCAATGCGCACGTCGATTCACGTCAGTTCGCGAGAGCCCGTAGGATGACGCGGGAGGCCCCCAGGAGTTGGTTGCCACAGAGGGAAGAAAGCTGGCCCTTCGGAGAAGCGCCGGGGCGTTTCCGGGCCCGATTTCTCCGCGCCTCTGCCGCTCTCAGCTTGGGTGGAAGCTGGTCGAGGTAGCGGGCTGGCATCGGCACGGTGGCAGGCTTCGGGGCGCCCTTCGGAAGCATGGGGACGGGGGTCCTTGCAAGCGGCGGTCAGCCAGGGCGGCCGTCCAGGTGCCCTGAGACGAGCCCCCAGGCCTCAGAACGCCAGGTCTTGCAGCATCCTGCAGAGCCAGGGCTGCGTCGACCTGGGCTTGCGCGCGGGATCCTGCAGGACGCCGCAAAGCCTGCCTGGCCCGGGTTTGCATTGACCGGGGTCAGGGCGCTTCCGAAGGGCAACGCCGTCAGGGGGGGATGGGCACAGGGCGGTGCTCATCGACCCCCGGTCGCCCAGTCGGGGCCGACAGGGGCTCGATCGCCCAACCTGCTCAGGACCGTGCGGTTCCGCTAGTTATCGAGGACTTATCGCCGATCCATCGGCGACGCATCACCGGTTCCAGCGCGATGCGTCCCCCGCCTGAGTTGGTCCCGCCCTCCTCGTCGGCCCCAACTCTTGGGGTGAGTCAGCGGCGCCGAAGTGGTAGGCGAGGACTAAACAGATCGGAACACAAACCACGCCATCACCATACACCTCCGGACTTCCGCTCGGTTTTCTTGGATCGGCGCCCGGAGGCGCAAGAGGCTGGATTCCCTTGTCAACACGGCTGGACTTTCCTTTCGAAGCTCTCGTCAGAGCGCATTTTTGAGAGGTCCAGACAGAGTAGCGGTATCGGTGCCTTCCAGTTCCCCCCGGATCGGCGCTGCGTTCCCCTGGCGGCGCCTCCGGCTCGGCCCTACGGGCGCTCGGGGCGCCAGGGAGGGGGTTCCGGCGCCGATGCAGGCAGTCCGCGCGGAGATCCGACAGAATGTACACTGATTGACGCAGTTGTTTCTCCTCCGAGGGAGGCGAGGACCGACTGAGCAGAAGTGAAGTCTTCTCACTGACGGGTGCCCATTTCCCATCGCCCAACCCCGTCTTTCCTGTCACTCGAGTAGGGGATCGACTACGGAATCGATTTACTCCGAAACTGATTTCCCGCCGAATCTGCTAGACGCACCTACAAAGCTCCGAAAGTATTTTGATTATTCTGTGTCTTCTTCTCACGGGTCCGAGGGGAACATTTATTTGGGGGGTCAATCATCGGAAATTGGAACGTATACATCACCAGCGGCGGGCTGTTTTTCAGTCCACTAACTTTCTGAGGGTCGGGGACGACGTCGGAGTGGTGTGGTGTATACTATTTTCCCGTTTTCTCGTGGAAACAACGAAACATGTATACACCAGGATCCCGTATACACCAGGATCCGCTTTCTTGTGCGAATTTCAGTGCGTGGCCGTAGAAAACGTCGGTGTATAGAGTCCGGTCCCTTAGATTAATTCTGTAGTCGATCCCCTTCTCGAGTGCAGCCTGGAGGGCCTGGGTCTGCCTGCGACGGTCCTCGCTCCATTCCACCGCCGCACCGAGCGCTGCTGCGGGGCCAGGGAGCGAACGCCAGAGGCAGAGGACTGGGTCGGATCGGCCGCTTAGTGTTGTGGAAGTCGATTAATGCAGAGGAAGCATGCTGCCAAATAATTTTCAGATGTCTGACATTTGTTTCAAACATGCTTTCGATATGTGAAAACATGTTTAAAACATGCTTAGAACATTGTTCCGACATTTCAAACACATTTTACATTCAATGATAGGACTGTTAGGGTGTCCATTGTCGGGCATCCACAAACTTAGTGGGCACCCGATACGGCAGGGCCGTCTCCCCATTGTTTCCGAAAAAAATGTTGCTTGGAAAATATAACGGAGCGAGCAATAAACGGCAATGGGGAACGGCAAACGATTTTTCTGGAAGCGGAGTTTGAACCAGAACCGGCAACACACCGGCAAAACAGAATTGGAAAAGAAAACACGGCACCCGAACCGGCAACAAATTGGCTTTATCGTTTCCAGGGCCAGCTATGGTCGGCCAATCTTTTGGCATCGCTCGGACGTGCCGTTTTTTTTCCGACCAGGACCATCGAGGAGCATCTTGATTCATCCTGCGAAAAAAAACCACACACGCGCGAAACCGAAACATATGCAGGGAATGGACGTCCGAGCGAAAGCGAGAGTCTTTCTTTGGCCGTATACACATGGGTCCCCTTGTGGCGGTATGCAGAAAGATTTCTTCTTTGGCAGAATACGGGAGGGTTCTTATTGTGGCGGAATTCGAAGGGATTCTTGTTGTGGTGGATTACTAAGGGGTCCTTCTTGTGGTAGAATACAAACGGAAGCCTTCTGTGGCTGATTACCAAAGGTTTATTATGTGCCAGAGTGCAAGGGACATCTTTGTGTGGTCGAGTACACAGTGCCCACCGTGTGGCGGAATGCAGAATGATTTCTTAGGCGGTAGGATACGAAATGATTCTTTGTGTAGCGGGGTGCTCAGGGTTTTTTTCCGTGGTAGATCATACATGGATTCTTTGCGTGGCGGAATACAAAGGGAAGCCTTCTGTCGTTGATCACCAGGGGATTTCCTATGTGGCGAATGGTCGCGGACAAAAATGCCCCCCTTGTGCGCGAATGCAAAAGGATAGCATTTGTGGCGGAATACTCAGGGTTCTTTCGTGGCAGAACTCAGCAATCTTTTTTGTTGTTGATACCAAATTCTTGTGTGGCGGAATACGACAGGGGCGCCTTCTGTGGTGCATTGCAAATTACGCTACCGAGGAACCCCGCATATTTACCAGGCTTTCTTGCGTGATGATAGCTGGCGCGAAACTTGCGAGCATGTTGACGGTGGTCGTCTTTTCGCCACCATCGGAGGCGGCGTGGTTCAAGCTTATGGGCCTGACATGCCGCGCCAACAGAGACGATTACAACGCAAAAGGGGGAGTGAGGTTTTCACGCGTCGCACAGGAAACGGTTCTCACGCTGTTGCTTCGACGGAACAGGAAGGGGCAGGGGAAGGCAGGAGGAATGCAGGAGGCGTTCCCGCCGCGCCGTGGTAGCCTTCATCGGACGCGGGCCCCGCCCCGGGCGCAGTTGCTGGCTGCCCCCGCGCACCCCGTCATGGCGTCGAAAAGATACCGCGATTGCGCCGAACACTGCGATCAGAAAGCAGCAAGACGCCATCGCCCCAGGACAGCGGCCTCTTCGACTGCGACTTTCAACATGTTCCACGCGCCTTGGGACCTCGGCGTTCCTTGCGGAAAAGGTAAAAAGAGTGGAAGGAGGAAAGGGATCTATTTTTTGACGACCATTGGGAACCGATCCTCGACCCCCGCGAGACTGAGCGAAGGCGGCTCGGGGGAACCCGCCCGACGTAGGGTCCATGAGGAACGTTACCAGGCATTGCCTCCTGCTATCGTCGTTCGTTCCTGGATGCGGCAAGTCATTCACTACCTCTTGCAAGCCACCAAGTTCGAAGCTGGCGGCTGTGAGCTCCATGCTCGGATTTGATGAACCTGTCCATGCCATGTTTGCCGATGTACTTCCGCAGCCCTGCCAAACGAATGCGACGCTCATCTCGACCATCTTGTTCAAGAGAGTGGCGCACGGAGGTGCCAATGCGGCCACTGCACATTTGGGGGACATGCCTATGGGCGCCTGCTGTCTTTGAGCCTGTTTGAGCCGAGGTGCCTACAATTCACCTTGCTGAGCTTATTTCTGCCGCGTGCACGCCTGAGGCACCTGTGCATACTGCATAACACGCCTGCTGAGCCCTGAGACATTGGCGCGTACAGAGACCGCAGTGGGAGACCCCCCCCTGCCCCCCCCCCTGACGTCGAGAAAGAAAAGTGCCACGCCTGGTAGGCCTGCGACATTGGCGCTACGCCATGCGAAATTGGCGCGTATAGAGGCCGCGGTGAGAGACAACCTCTGCGCACCCATTTCCTGACGTCGAGAAAGTTCCACGCCTGTTAGGCCCTGAGACATTGGCGCGTATAGGGGCCGCGGTGAGAACCACCCCGTCGGCATCCCCTTCTGGCGTCAAGGAAGTGCCACCTCTGCTATGCCCTGCGGCATTGGCGCGTATAGAGACCGCGGTTAAAACATATTCCGTTGCGCCCCCCCCTTCTGACGTCGAGAAAGCGCCACGCCTGCTAGGCCCTGGGACATTGGCGCGTATAGAGACCCGTTGTGAGAGACCAGCCCTTGCGCCTCCTATCTGACGTCGGGAAAGTGCCACGCCGGCTAGGCCGTGCGACACTGGCGCGTACAGAGACCGCGGTGGGAGAGCACCCCCCTTGCGCACCTTCCCTGGGGTTGAGAAAGTGCAGCGCCTGCTAGGCCCTGCGGCATACGTCTTTTATGTGTGACGCTTCGTGTGTCTGTGTTTGATGCGTGCGGGGCCACGTCTGCCGCCGCGGTTTTGTACATGCGAGCGGGACGGGGAAGTGAAATAGTGGGGGAGAGGGGTCATAGAAAGAGAAACGCGGGTGCGACGCGGCAGGGAAGAGAACCAGGCACCCACGAAATATGTGGGAAAACAACATTTTTGTTTAAATTGTGGACTTATTGCAAAAAGGAGGGGTTCGCTGTGCAGCGGCATTAGAAACGGATTCCATCTGTGGCGGAATGCGCGCACATTGTTTCCCCTTGTGAGCGCAACGTGTTGAAAAACAAAAAAACATAGAGCAACTAAACCCACATCAATCAATTTATTCGGCAGAATTGTGGCGATGGTCCAAGGCAGTTTTCCAGAATTCATAGTTTGCTTCTGCTGTTTGTTGGTTTAGCTGTTTTGTTTTCGTGGTTTTTGCAAACACTTTTCGTTCACTTAGAAATAATCCTTCTGTATTCTGCCATTCAAGTATTTTTGGGTATTCCGCCACAGAAGGAATCTTGTTGACCTCTGCCAGAAAAGGGGATCCTTGAGTATTCGGCCACGAAGGGGATCATTCTGTATTCCGCCGCAAAGGGGATATTTTCCGTAATCCGATACACAGGGGATTATTTTGCTTGCCGCGTGAGGAAACATTTTGCGTTCCGCTGCGAAATGGGACTGCCGATTGCAAGGGCATTATGTTTGGGTTGGTATTGAAGGATTCATTTGGGTGGGATGGGGAAGATTGGTTATTGAGTGGATTACACGTCGATGTTTGGTGTGGCGCATTCCAGAAACATATATCATATATTGCGTTAGCTCAATTTGCAACAAAGCGCTCAAACAGCCAACGCCTGCCGCCTGCATCGTGCCTGGTGAGGGAGAAGGGGGAGGCATAGGCGAAAGAAGGGCAGTAGAAGGAGGAGGAGGAGGAGGTAGAGGAGGAGGAGGAGGAGGAGGCGGAGACGGAACAGGAGGAAGAGGAGGAGGAGGAGGAGGAGGAGGAGGATGAGGATGAGGAGAAGGATGAGGCGGAGCAGGAGGAAAAGGAGGAGGAGGAGGAGGCGAAGTAGGAGGAGGAGGAGGAGGAGGAGGAGGAGGAAGAGCCGGAGGAGGAGGAGAAAGAGGAGGAGGAGTAGGAGGAGGAGGAGGAGGAGGAGGAGGGGGAGGAGGAGGAGGAGGCGGAGCAGGAGGAGCACACCGAGGAGGCGGGACGACGAGGTTTCAACGCATGCCCTTGGCCCCCCGCGCCCATCGCCACTCGACTGCCCGCGGTCGGGGCTCCGCGATCGGGGGTCGCGGATGTCTCTGGACGGCGTGCGTGGCTGGTCCGCGCTCTGGGCCGCCCCCCCCGCCGTTGCGGCCCCCTGCTCTTCCCGTGCCTCTCCTCCCTTGCCTCCCGCCGCTCCTTTTCAGGCGCTCGTGCCCGCCGGCGGTGGCGGCCCCAAGAGCGTGAGCACCCCGCCGCGCTGCGGCCGGGGGGAGGGGGGGCAGGGGGGGGGCGCTCGAGGATCGAGGCGTGGTCGAAGACCGAGGGTCGATGGAGGAACGAGGATCCATCGGGGATCGAGGATCCGTCGAGGATCCAGGTTCGAGAGTCGAGGTTTACGGATCGAGTATCGAGGTTTTGAGCTTCGAGGATCGAGGGGGAGTCGATCGAGGATTGATGATCGATCGAGGAGCGAGGATTGCGGATCGGGGATCGAGGATCGGGGGCAGGGGGGAGCAGGTTTTCTGGGCGTTCCCCGTGTCGAGATAAGGGGGGGCCACCAAAAATATTCTCGGAGGCATGATGGCCCCAGCCGCGATATTCCCCCACCCCCAGCCGTCTGCCCCCGCCTGGTCCCCCCCCCAGAGCCGCCGGACACGTCCGAGCCCTAACCCCCACCAGCCATCCATTCTGGCGGTGAGCCGGGAGGGGGGAAGTGAGGAGGGGCTGGCCTTCTCAGAAGGCTCGGAAGTCCCCCCAGCCTTCCGAGGAGTTTTCTCAGCCTTCCCCGAAGGCACCGAAAGCTTCTCGCCGAGTGCTGAGAAGGCCGTCTCCTTCTCACTCCCCCCCCTCGCTCGCCGCCGACCATGCGTGAATCCAAGGGAGGCAGGGGGGCAGGGTTCGCAATTCGCGAACGTGCTCGACGAATCCAGAACCCTGTCCCCTCCGCCCAACGAGTTGCCTGCATCGTTGATCGGCGAGGGCAGGGTTCGGACTCCGCCGCCGAGTCTGGCGGGAGGGGCGGCCGAAGGCTGTGGTGGTCGCAGCGCCACGAGGGGAGGGGGGGAAGACGCAGGAGGGGGGCTCGGAAGAGGGCTGCGGTTGCACTCTCTGCCGGCCCTTTTTGGCCGCTTGGATGGGGTGGATTCGCGGGTGGATTCGCCTCGATTGACGGGCGGGTTGGGATGTATCTTGGCAGGGGGTTCTGGGGCTGATGTTGAGCGGATTGGGCGTCGTTCTTCCGAGAGGAGACGTGAGGGAGAGCGGTAGAGGGGGGCAAGGGGCGGCACAGAGAGAGAGAGAGAGAGAGAGACACAGGCACCAGGAGAGAGATAGAGAGAGAGGGATATGGCAGGCAGACTGACGCACAGTGATGCGGATGGATGAATATTGGTAATCATAGCAGTTCGAAGGAGAGCATGGTGTGTAGAGAGCGAACGCGAGAGAGACATAGAGAGAGATAGTGAGAGAAAGAGTGATAGCGAGCGAGAGAGATAGAGTCATTTTTGTGAAGGCCTCGTGGTCGGTGTCGCTGACCCTGGACGAATACCCCCATGATGGAGGTGACAGCAGGAGTTGTTCGGGAAGTTCGGGATCATGCGCCCCGAATAAATTCCCTGAAGCCCCATGAGGTTCCAAAGAAGCGTATGCGGAGGAGCACAGTTTGGCCTAGCTATTTGCCGATGTGTTTTCGCAGCAGAGGGGGCATCATGAGAGGGAGGAGGATGAGGATGAAGAGGAGGAGGATTGAGAAGAGCAGGAGGATGAGGAGGAGGTGAGGTGGAGGAGGAGGCGGAGAACGAGGAGGACAGCAAGGAGGAGGCGGAGGAGGAGGAGGAGGAGGAGGAGGAGGAGGAGGAGGAGGAGGAGTTGGAGGAGACCTTGGGAGCCTTTTCGGGGCTCTGGGAGTCTCCTCAGTCTAAATGGCGGCCTCGTGCCGCTATCCGGGACCGTCTTGGAGGTATGTTGGGGCCATCTGAGGCCAGGTGGAGCCATCTTCTCCGTCTTTGAGGGCATCTTGAATCTTCTAGGCGGCAATGCAGCGGCATCCCTGACTATCTTGGAGAATTCGGCAGGAACCCTCTAGGAGCTCTAGTGGAGCGTTCTGGCGATTTCGGCCCCTCTTGGATTACGTGACCCGCGGCCCATCCCGCCACCGTGCCTTATTATGATACTGTTTGGGACCTCCTGGGAACCCTCGTGGCGCTGTCTCAGGGCTCTCTTGGTAGCTTCTTGGAGCACTCTCCAGGCTCTCCGAGAGTCCCAGAGTGCTTGAAGAGGGGCTCTTGTGCTTAGCGGCCTGAGCTGGCCCCTCGCGGGCTTCCGAAACGGCCCGCAGCGGTGTCATACCGAAGGCTCCTGGTAAGGTACTGTTGAGGGCTTGCTTGGGATTCTCTTAGTGGTGCCCTCGTGCTGGCTCTCTTGGGGCGCTCGGGCGATGCCAGGCCCCTCTCGGAGTATCGTAGACGCCTGCGGCGAATCACCGCCGCCCTCCCTGCCTTTTCGGCGGTGCCCACGTGGCCGGGAGTTGGGCTAGATAGGGTCTGGCCAAGCCATCGGGCCATGTGCTCCCCCAGCCGTAATTGGAACCATTCGGGAATGAGGAGAAGAAGGACATCGGAGGAGGAAGAGGTGGAGGAAGAGGAGGAGGAGGAGGAGGAGGAGGAGCAGGATGAGGGAAACAAAGAGCAGGAGGATTAGACCTCTTGGGAACCTCTTGAGGTACTCTTTGGTTCTCCTGTGAGCTTCCTGTGAGCCTCGTGGAGGCCTCTTGGGGGTATCCTTATGCCTCTTCGGGTCCCTTGGGGGCTAGTTCGGGGTCTCTTTGGCAGTCGTAGGGTGTTCCTGGGCCGTCCGACGCCGTCGGAAGCTGACTTGGAGCGTCTCTGGACCATTTTGCGGCCCTCCTGGGGTGCTTCAGCGCAGTCTTGGAGGGCATCTTGGCCGTCATGGAGGCCTCTTTGGCCTTCTTGGGCCCCGCTCTGTGCCGTCTTGGGGGCTTCTTGGGCCGCCCTGGGGCCATCTTGGAGGATGATCTTGGGGGCCTCATGGGCCGTCTTTGGCCGTCGGGAGCCGACAAAAAACACATGCCAACATCTTTCGAATACCTAAGGGAAGTCTATGATTTTGGCATCTTCGAGCCCTCCTGGAGGACCTCCTGGAGGCCTCTCGCCGTCTTGGAGGTCTTTGGGGCCTTCTTGGGCCGTCTTGGGCCGTCTCGGAGGCTTCTTCTGCGAATTTGGAGGCATCTTGGACTCGCTTGGGCCGTCGTGGCGACCTTCTTGGACTATCTTGGGTGAACGTGAGGGCCGTCTTGGGCCATCCTGGCCGTTCTGGGGGCCATCGAGGCCGTCTTGGGGAGTTCTTCTGGAAAGAGAACCAATACCAAGCCGTGAAGGGTTCAGCGCGCTGGGCACCCCTCTGGCAAGACCACAGGTGGCGGCGGATCAAGTGGCCTGCGGTCCATCCCGCCAGAGTCCTCATTCCCCAATCAGAGCTTGCCTCTGTAGGGGTCCTAGCGGATTAAGGGTTTAGGTGAGGTGGGTCGCCGATTTCGGTGGCCGGGCCCGGGTGCCCGGGTGCCCGGGTGCCCGGCAGTGCCCGGTTGCCCGGGAAGCCGGTGAGGTTGGTCGCCGATTTCGGTGGCCGGGCCCGGGTGCCCGGGTGCCCGGGTGCCCGGGGTGCCCAATAGCCAAATAGCATATAGCCCAATAGCCCTATAGGCCTATAGCCCTATAGTTTTATAGCCCCATAGCCCTATAGCCCTATAGCCCAATAGCCCTATAGCCCTATAGCCCTATAGCCCCATAGCCTTATAGCCCTATAGCCCTATAGCCCTACAGCCTTATAGCCCTATAACCTTATAGCCCAATAGCCCAATAGCCCTATAGCCCTATAGCCTCATAACCTTATAGCTTTATAGCCCTACAGCCCCATAGCTCCAACAAACATCTGACTGTTTTTTCTCCGGTGTCATGTGTGCTTCTTGGGATCTCTTCGGAGGGTTGGCTGCCGGGAGCGTCTGCAGGCAGTTTAGAGGCCGCTCGGGGGCTTCTTGGGAGCCTCTCGTGCGCTTCTTGGGGGCTTCTTGGGGGCCTCTTGTGGGCCTCTTAGGGCCCCTTGGGGGCCTCTTGGGAGCCTCTTGGGACCTCCTGAGAGCCTCTTGGGGCGGTGAGCTTAAATGCTGGTTCCTGCTCGCCCTCTGGGGCCCCTCTTGGGGCGTTCTTTGGGCCGTCGTGGGCCGTCTTTGAGGCATATTGGGCCGTCTTGGAGGTCTCTTGGGCCGTCTAGGCACCCTCTTGACGGCCACGTATGCCGTCTATGGGCGATGTGTTGGGCCTCTTGGGCCGTCTTGGAGCGTCCAGAAGCCGAAAAGGCAGAAACGCTAAAGTCTTTTCCAAGACAATGACATACAATCCATGTTGGAGCGTTTCGGAGGCGCCTTGGGCCTTCTGGAGGCCATCTCTGGCGCGCTGGAGCAATATTTTGGCTACTTTGGGTCCTCTTGAGCCCCTTTTGGGGTATCTTGGACCTGATCTTTCGAAGGAGGGTCAAATTTGATCGAAGGCGGCCCCGAACGGGAAAGGGGGGGATCGTATTCTGACTCGGGACCTTCGCCCAGCCCCCCCCCACCCTGGGACCCCCCCCTATCACCTCCACCTGGGACCCCCCCCCTCCAGGTGGGAATGGATCTAAGGGAAGGGGCTACCCTTGATTCGACTCAATTGCGACTTCGGTTGCGACCTGGCTCAATTCACCTCGGGTTGACGAGCTTGGCGCGCAAAAGAGGGTGATGAGCTGGGCGCGCCCAAGAGAACGCCAAAGGGTGCCCCGAAGACGGCAAAACCCATATTTACCCCTGACACCTTCCGACAGGGTCGGCGGATTTGAGGACGCGCGCGGAGGAGGAGGAGGAGGAGGAGGAGGACCGCTTCAGAAGGTGGGACAGGAAGAGGACGGTTCGGAGTGGGATCAGTCACGGCTCGAATACTGTGGGACCAGGGATGTGGGGCTCTCGTCGCAGCCGGTTGTAACATTCGCCCGCTGTACATTCGGTGTGGTTCTGGTAACATGCGACTCTTTGGCTGTTCAATCATTCATTGGCCCTCCAATTTCAGAGGCACTCATCTTGCTGGTTGCATACGCTTGATCCAGCCTGGCCTGGATAGGTCCTTTCTCTGACGGACTTGTTGCGCAATCTTTTTTAAGAGTTTGGCATTTTGCCCACAGGGGCCTCCATGAGTTGACATCAAGTTTGCCATCGGTAATTCAGTTGCGCTGGCGCCAGGTGCTCTCGCTGGTCCCGCGCACTTGGAAGGCACCGCCGTGTTCATCTAGACACAGCCGACGCGTCTCCAACGAATTTGAGCTGCTTTGCGATGGCGCGGAGGTGGTTAAGGAAGAGGATGAGGAGGTGGAGGAGGAGGAGGAGAAGGAGCAGGAGGAGGAGGAGGAGGAGGAGTTAAAGCAGCACTGGGGCCCTGTCAGGGATTCATCAACTGGGGGCAGTGCAGGCCTGGCGTATCTCGGGTCGCTGTTCTACTCGCAGCTCCGCAAGGGCGATGTGCAGGAGAGCGGTGGCCTCCTTGAGCAGGCCCAGACATTCAACGCCATTTCAACGATGAAGAGATGGAGGTGGTAGTAGAGTTTAGTCGGGCCTGTCCCTCTACAGGAGGAATATTCCAAATAGCAAAAAATTGTCAGAGGACGACTTTTTGACAATTTTCGAGTATTTTGTTAGTATTTTCGTGTATTTTTAATTTTTCGCCGAAAATCCCCCTGTAGGGGGACATGCCCGACCCAATAGTACAGGGGGAGGGGGACCCGGTCACGTCGAGGGGCGAACGATGGGAGCACACAGGCGGTCACACAGACGCGCGCGCCTATGTGTGCAAGCCGCGCAGCACCGGGCCCCGACAAGCGGGCACGCGCCTTGCACACCTCCGTAACAGGTTCCCTTGTGTCACTGAACGCGTTCCAGTACTCGCAAAGTGCCGACTCGCAAACGCCAGAAAAGCACATGTTTGATTCGAGGTAATTTCTCGTAGATACCCCAAGCGGATCTAGGCCATTTGCGAGTAGTCACCTTGCGAGTAGTGGAACGCACTCGTCTATTGTGGAGCCCTTTTCGCATCGGTCACGCCCCTCCTCTCTGAGCGGGCGAAGCACGGACAGGCGGTCCCGACCACTACTGAGGCGAGTGTCCAGAAGGACGCGTGGGCAGGAGAGTTTGCGCTTGGCACCTCTTCAGGAACATAGCATCCAAAGCGCTGCAGAGCGTCATACCGTCATGCTCCGTTCTTCGCCCGCTGATTCCTCGTTCTGGTCCGTTCGCCCGTCCCCGATGGTGGGGAAGTTTGTGTTATATCCCGTTCTTCGCCCGCTGACTCGCCCTCATCGTCCTCGTTCTTCCCTTCGTCTCGCCTCGTCGTCCTGGTCTTCGAGTGTGGGCCTTCTCCGCCCTCACCGGGGAGGCGTCTTGCTGGCGTCGATCGCGCGACGATACCGAAGACCGACACCAGTGCGCGTCCTGGATATCCCTCGGCGCCACAACTGGATACATCTCGAAATTCTGGTCAGAACGCACCCTTGGAGAGGTTTAGGGAGCGGTTGTATGGGTACCTGTCTGTTCCCCCAAGAGAGGGGACGTGTCGAATAGGCGCGGGAGGGAGGAGAAGGTAACGCGAATGGTGCCAAGGGGAAGCATCATTTGCACATGTGGTGCGGTATGTATTCGACATCCCATTCGTCCCTCATCATGTTCACCACCCCAGCGTGCGAGGGACCCACGGTGTCAGCATCGAACCATCGAATTGTCAGGCTGACCGGGAAGGAAGGAAGAGATGGATCGATATCGATTGCAAGGCGGCATTGACAAATGATCCCAGAAGAGCTCTGAAATGTCTCTTCATGTGTAGGCTACGTCGCTTGCATTCACGACTCGTCGATTGGCAACATGGGGGCTTTGAGGCCACCCGAGATGTGGCTAGGCTGACTGGGCTGGCTGGACCAGGGTCTGGCTGGCGGCGAAGGCTTCCGCAGCCAAGGCACCGAGGAGGCCTCCACGGCAACAGGGTGGGCCGTGCCACGATCACAACGGGCGCTTGGGAGGACACCCTCAAGGAATGAGGCTCTAAGAAGAAAAAACGCCATACACATAAACTTGTTGCGCTCCGCGCGGATTTCTTGGATCCGCGCCTGGGACCCTGAGACCCCCCAGCGGCCCCTCCGGCGCCGCCTCTGGCGCGCTCCTCGCGCCAGGGAGGGGTGTCCAGCGCGGATCCAAGAAAACCGCGCGGAACGCCAACAGTTTATGTTTATGGCGTTTGTTTTTCCTCTAATGGTCGGTTTTTCTGGGCTGGTGGCAAGGGCTGGCCACGCTTGCCGGGCGGGCAGTGCTGCACGTTGCAAAGTGCGTGGGGGCAGGGCTGCATGCGTGGGGCAAGGCGCGGTGGCGGGGCGAGCTGCGAGCACCCGTGAGAGCCCTGGCGCGGCACGCTGTCCATCTCGCGACTCCTCCAGCCAGCTCCTCCTTCCCCCCCTCCTCCTGCTCCTCCTCCTCCTCCTCCTGCTCCTCCTCCTCCTCCTCCTCCTCCTTTTCCTCCCGTAGCCATTTTGGCTCAAGCTGCTTGTTTCCATTGGGGAGGAAGGGGGTACCACTAGTCCGCGGCCAGTCTCTGGCTCGCCGCCGCATCCGCCTGCAGTCTCGCCGCCGCATCCGCCTGCAGTGTGGACTGCTGCACCAGCGTGCGGTTCCCCGAGCTCGACCGCCATGCGCGACATCGCCGCCGCCTTCGAGGAAATCGCCACGTTTCCGTCGCGAGAGGTCGACGGTGTGCACAGGCGCTTGCAGCAGCAGGCCGACGCCACCAATGCGCGTCTCGCGGCAGCCGAAGGTAGGCTGGATACACGTGATAATGCACTTCCGGCTCTCAAGGACGAGATGAGGCGCCTGCGCCATCTCCTGGCCGTGGCCGACCAGCGCCCCGCTGTCCCTCCCCCCGTCCCTTCGGGCTTCGATCGCGACGTGGACCCGTCCATCGTGCTGGCCATTGCCCAGCGCCCCACTTCCCTCGTGAAGGCCAAGGCCTCGCTGCAGCATTTCGTGCCCGATTCGGGCTTCCAGGCGGAGGGGTTCGAGATCCAGGGGCTGGGCCCCCTTCCCGTCGATGCGGTTTGCGGTTCAGTCCTTCGGGCTCGCTGCGCCCGCCGCGCGGCGGGCCCTTGCGTTGCTCGGCAGTCTCAAGAAGCGGGATGGCACCTGGCATGAATTCTCGGTTTCGCGCGGCACAAACTCGCAGTGTCGCTTGCACCTGGGCCCGGACAAAGGGCCCCAAGCAGACCCGTTTGGAAGTCACGTTGCGCCGCGTCCGCCAAGCGCTTGCTGGCGCCAACTTCCAGGAGAAGGTCTTCATGGACAAGGAGCGCGCCACCCTGTCGGTCGAGTGGGCCCGCGTCGCCCGCGTCTCCGTCTGCCCTGGTAATGAGGCGCCGCAGATCCATTAGGGGCCTTTCGACCTGCCCAAGATCGGCTGGGACAGGCAGCGCCGCCTCGACGCCCGCCGCCCTCTCGCGACCCCTGAGGCTGAGGAATATGGGCGTCTCTAGCATCTGCAATCTCTTTGTCTGTGCTTCGCCTCGGGGCGGGGCCCAGCGTGCCCCGCCCGGGTTTGCCACGCGCAACTGTCGAGCGTTGCTTCAGGCTGCAGGGGCAATAGCTAACCTGAAGAGGGACTGCCTGGCTCGTCTATCTCCGCACAACACCTTCCTCTCTCTTCAAAAGTTCATCAGGATGAGCTTCAACTTCGGGCCTTGCTTCGAGCTGTGGACCCTGGTATCACCCTTTCACCAGCTTCTGTGAGGGACTTGCAGGTCGGATTCGCGGTGGGGTCGCGGTTCTGTTGCCTCCGTTCGCTCAGCTTGGGGTTTCATGTGTCGAGTTGAGGATGGCTGCGTTGGTTCCTGGCAGAGTTTTACGTGCCTCAGTTCTGTGTGACGACATCTCCCTCGTGGTCTACAATATACACAACCGCGGCCTGACGTGCAAGGAGGTCCAGTCATGTCGCGTCCGACATCTCCACCTCGTTCCGCTACGCTGCGGAGGCTCCCAAAATGCGCTTCGTGCTTGTCAATGGCGACTTCAACTTTTCCGACGCCGACTCCTTGTTGCTGAATGCGTCGGCGGCGGCGCTTAAGCGTTCTGGTCGTCAGCATCATGCTCGGGCTCATCTCTGGCGCGCGGCTTTGGCCTGCGTGAAGAGATGGATGGGGCAGGGGCCGACGCGTTACGTCCGCGGCCAGGACTCAGAGGCGATCGTCGACAGAGTGTTTGTCTTCATGCCCAGCTGGCTTGCCTGCAAGCACTTCATCCTGTCCTCGGTTCTGGGGGCCGCCGCGGACGTCGCCGACTAAAAGAACTCCGATCACGCCGCCGTCGTTGTCTCCATCTCGCCCCGTTCTCCCAAGCCCCCGTCGGAGCGAGCTCTCTCTAAGCACTTATGCACAGGGGCCCTTCGTTCGCGAGCGTCTGCAGGAGCTCGGCTAAATGACCGACTGGACAAGGCCATATTTTCTGTTCCGCCTTGAACATTTCTTAGTTTTTGATGCGTGAAGCTGGCCGTGCGACGCGCGGCGCTTTGTTTCGCGACCGCCATGATCACGCCGGCGCGCTGTTACAGTCAGCTCGATCGATTGCACGCGCGATATGGAGGGGTGATCGTGCGTTGGCCGGACGTCTTCTGGCTTCGCATCCCGCAGCTGCCGGTCATCTTGCTTTCGCCCCGTCAGGCGTCGAGCTGCTGCGTCCGCCCTCGTTCCAGGAGTGGTCGTCGCGGGTTCGGGGGGGCGGCCGTTGCTCGTGAGCGCGGAGAGCTTTAGTCTCGTCTTCGCGCTGGGGGCAACGCTCGTCAGCTTTGCCTCGTCTGTCGTGCTCAGGAACGCAGAGCCAGTCTCTTGTCCCTGCTCGGTCGCCGTCTTGCTCTCTCTGGTATTGCGTGTGACGTCCAGGGCGTGGTCTCGGATTCTGAGGCTCGAGTTCAAGCTCTTGGTGATCCGCAAGGGCTTCGCCCCATGCCGCTGGCCGCCGCCGTGAAGCAGTGTCGGGGCTTTTTTGGGGGGGGAACCTGACCCTGCGTGCTGCGCGAGGGGTGCCGCCGAATTTCAGACACGCGGCAAGTCCCTGACCATGCGGATCTGCGCGAGGGGCGCCGCCGGATTTCAGATATGGTGCGAATCTTGTTTTGAGTTTTTGCACCCGGACCCCGCCGATCTGCGCGCCTGCAAATTTCAGACATCCAGCAAATCCCATGTGTTTTTGGACCCTGACCCCACCGATCTTCGCGAGGGGTGCCACCGAATTTCAGAAATGTTGCGGAGCCCAGTTGTTTTTGGACACTGGCCCCGCCGATCTGCGTGAGGGGTATAATTTTTTACCCGCCCCGTCAATTCAGAGCACGCCCTCAGGGCGTGGTAAAAATACCCGTTTTGGCCCCCCCCCTCGCGCGGTCCGTCAACAAGGAATAGTGGGCAGCAAGAAGCAGAACTGTTACCGTGGAAACTGGAAGCTGCAACTGGCACAGGAATTGCGGACCTTCGCCCTGCAGCCTGGTTGCCCCACAAGGGGGCCGGCGAATTACTGTAAGCCGGTCTTCTTTAGAAAGCCTTGGAATAAGCAGCTTGCGTCGGAATATGTTCGCAGATGGAGATCCCAGGCGTCTCGCAGGTCTCGCTCCCTCCTCCCACCTTTCGGCTTCTTCGGCAGATCCTTCGACGTGCCGAAGACTCCGCCGCTGGTACCGATGGGATCCCCTATGAGGCCTGGCTTGCGTCGCCATCGGGCATCGACATTTTGCGGCCCCCCCTTCGATGGGCAGATTCTGTTCGACGCTGCCAGTATTATTCTTCAAGCGTTCTTGCCGAGATCGATCACGGATGGGGGAGTTGCGTGGTGCTCAGTGCGCGCCGGCGCCCGATAGAGTGCGAGTTCTTGGTCTCAGAAACATGTGCAGTAAGGTGGTGCCTGCCACGGTCAACGCCGCCACCCGCCCGCTTATTCAAGCTGCTGCGCCTCGTTGCCAGCGTGGCCTTGTTCCGCGTCGGAACTTTGGTGCGAACATTCTGGAGCTTGACGTCTCGTCGCGGCAGTTGTCGGTCACCCCCCGCGGCCCCCGCGATTTTCCCATCCTGTTCTCCATGGACTTCGGCCAGGCCTTCCCTCGCTGAACCAGGACTCCCTGCTGTTCCTCTTGAGATCCTTGGGCCCCCCGCTTCCGTGTCCGGATTTTGTTCGTTCGCCGTCGAGGGCGTCGTTCAGGCGAAGGGAGTGTTCAAGCGAATCTACTGGCCCCGTAGTGGCATCATGCAGGGATGTGGGCGCTCTGGGACCCTCTTCGCCGTGGGTTCCTCGGTCTTCCTGGGGGACTTGCAGGCCTCGCTCGGGGGCCCTCAGCTTGGTCTCGCGCGGTCCTGTGCGGGCGACATCGGTGGCATCTTGCCTCGGGCTGCTCTGTTTTCTCGGGTCCATCGCGCGGTGTCCGTCGCCGCCCATATCGCGAACCTGGTCTTGGACACCGCCGAGTGCAAGGTGGCCCCGTTGTGTCCCAAGTTCTCGGAAGCTCTCGCGTGTGACTCGCCCCGCGTGATAGCCTTGTCGGTTTCTGAGTGGGCCGCGTTCGATGTTGTCCCGTCCCTGGTGCATTCGGGACTCCACATGGGCCCTGCTGCTGGCCCTGCCGCATCCTGGACAGACCCCGCTGCTAAATGTCGGCTCAGATCTGTGGCGACTGGTCGGGGCACCACTCCGCTAGCCTTTCCTAGATCCTGTGCAACACGAGAGCAGTGAGTACCTTATCGTGCGTTACTTGGTTCACGAGGATTCCGGCAGAGTTATTTAAATTCGAGTTCTCCGTCCTCGCGCAGGTCTTCCGAGTCCCGCCCGGGGTCTTCAATCAAAGTGCACGGTTCCAGCTTGCTACGTGGGGGGGCCCTCATGTGGCTCGCCAGCTTCGCGGCATCCTTGGTGCGGGCTGCTCTGTGGACCTTTCCTGAACATGAACAACTTCGGGACAAGCTCGTCTCATGCGCAGCCGCTCGGCCGCTCTGGCATACCCTCGACATGTTGCGGACGGGCGACGCCTACCCGAGGTTCTGGCAGGCTCCCGTCTTTGTCGAGATCATAGCTGATGCAGTTGCTGGCGTGGCGCCCTCTCAGGGCGCAGTGGCTCCCCTTCCTCATGCGGTGGCGGCGGCGCGAGCTGAGATTGCTGAAGCTGCTGGTCGTCGCCCTCGGCCTCAACGTGCTGCTTGTCGCGCGCTGCGAGAACTTGCTCTACGTGAGGCACCGTTGGGGCGGCTTCTCGCTTTTCGGCTGGGCAAGCTCCTCGGCCAGCGGCGCTCCGCCATCGCCGCCATCGGCTGGACCCAGGTGCGCGCGCTGTTCGCCGAATGCCCATGCTCCTCGTTCTGGGCTTGGCTCAGATCGTGGGCTGACAGGTGGCTCACTTCGTCGTGGGCCGTTCGCCCCCGTGGGCTGCGCGGCTGCGCCTTCGGGCGCGCTCGCGTTCCTGACGCTCTGCGGCATTGTGCTCGCCGTCGTCCTTTGCATCGAGCGTCGCGTCGGGCGCTTGCCCGGGCCTTCCCGCGTCCGCTTCTCGAGCCCTTCGCTCCCGAGCGTCGCTGGTGCCGCTGTCTGCTCCCCTCCCCCCTTTCCCTCGCCCCCGTGCGCACGTGATGCGCCGCCGCGGCTTGGCCCGTTGGCCGCGACACCGTCGCCGACTCGATGCGCAGTCTGCCGGGCAGGCCAGGCGCGCCCGCCCCGCCCGCCCCGCCGCCCGAGGGGGGCAGAGGGGGCTGGCCTAGGTGGGGCGAGGAACTCTGGGTACGCTCGCGTCCTCCTCCTCCTCCTCCTCCTCCTCCTCCTCCTTCTCCTCCTCTCCTCCCCCTCCCCCTCCTTCTCCGCCTCCGCCTCCCCCTCCTCGGCCGCATGCAGTGAGTCTCGCGTGGGTCGGTGGCCCTGGCAGAGCTCACGGGCAACGTTGCGGGAGAGGGTAAGTACGCTCCAGGGGGGCGCTTCGGCCCCCGATGTCGCCCGTTGCTCGCCGATGCGGGTCCGATCGGCCCACTACGCCCAGGGCCGCGCGGATTTGCCATATGGTGTCTGTGCGAGGAGGAAGCGAGGATGAGGAGGTGATCCGAGTGCGTAACCCCCTTTCGTTTCACATCCTCTGAACAGCGCCACGATGTGCTCATGCATTGGCGACAAAGAAGGGGGCCTGTCGCCGATCTATATAAGCGATGTATCGACGACTGCTTGTCGATGAATCCCCTGCCTGAGCTGTTGGCCCTTACGTATCGACCACCCTGCAAAAACGAAGGCCGCCGAGAGCATGAGGCTTGCATCGAGCGGCTCAGAACCGCTTCTGGGAGCATTCACTATCAGTGGGCCTCCGTCCCCAGTCAGGTACTGCGAGGGGAAAAATCCAATAGTGACCCTCGGGCTGACAAAAAACAGAGCGAGAGCCGACAGGAGCGATCGGGCTTCATCCTGTGACTTCGAAGCGTGGTTGGGAGTGAAGTCGTGGCAGCACGACGGCCGCCGGCAGCGGGTGCCTTGCATCCATTGGTTCACCGGCGACGCCAGGGGGGGGGATGCATACACACCCACTCGCCCAATGTTTGCCGATGTAGACCTGATAGCTCTCCCCTCCCTTGTCCGTGCTGTTTCGCGATCGGGGGCCAATCGCAGAGATAGATCGGCGATGTATCCCCGATTCCAGCTCGATATTCCGCACCCCCCCCGAGCCCTGAACCAGTCTTCACCCAAAACCGCCCCTCATTCAGGTTCGCGCATGTATGTGTTCAGAAGCGAAAAAGCTGAAGTAACAACCAGCGACTACCGAACGACTCGGAAGCGAAAGCGCTGAACTAAGAACTAGCGAAAGCCCCTCGCTATGCTGCTTCTGTCCCCGGGCACCAGGAGCGCTCCAGATCGGCGGCACAGGCTGGAGGCCATTCAAAACTCGGCGATGTATTGCCGATTCTTGCCTGATCGCGGGCAAGAGCTGCGTCCGTATCCACTGTGTCTTGGGGTTTCGGGCTTCCTTCCCCAAAAACTGGAGGCGCAGTGGATGTGGATGAGAAGTTTGACCCCAGAGGTTGTATGTTTATCCTTATCCGCTGCGCCTCGGCCTACTGTGGCACCTTTCCAGACAGTCACGGACGCAGTGGACATGGACGTTTCCACTCCAGAGCATGTCCCCTCCGTAACCCTGCCCTTTATTCAGATTCGCACCTCTGGGTTCGGCACGAACGAAAAGGGTACGGAAAGAATGGGCACAACGCCCAACAGCAGTTCGTGTTCATTTTGAACAGGACTCGCTGGCCGCGCCGCCGCGGCCTGTACCAATTTGAGACAGAAGGCCGCCTGCCCACCAGCGGCCGCTGTTGGTTTCGGCCAACATTTGTTGTTGGGCATTGTACTCATTTTTTCCGTACCCACGTCGGGCGCCCAAATGGGTTTGTTTCGCACGTTCGGCCCCCGCGAGCCGACGCCTCCGGGCTCAGGACGGCAGGGAGGGCCACACCAACGTCGCGAACTGGGCGCGGCGGCGCCTCGGCAAGGGCGGCCTGTTCGACGAGGGCGCGCCGCCGTCGCCGCCGCCGCCGTGATGGATCGGGGTGGCTGCGGCCGCGGTGGTGCCCCACCGCTCGAGGCTTCTGGCCTTCCCACCGCTCGAGGCTTCTGGCTGCCCGAGGAGGAGGAGGACGAGGAGGAGGAGGAGGAGGAGGCTTCTGGCGTTCCCGCTTGGAGACTTCCTCGTCTCGGGATGCCTCCTGGCGGGTCCGCCTCGGCGGGATGGCCTTCCTGGGGGTGTCCCCCCCCGGATCCTCCTGGCGTCGCAGCCCGAGTCTCAGGTCACGCGTCCCGAAAGCCAGGCCCTGGGCCCCAGCGACCAGCACCCGGAGGGGCCGTCGTCGTGGTCGTCTTTGGCCTCCTCCCCTGGGAGGGGAAGGGGGGCATGGGGTTGGGGAGGGGACCAGGGGAGCGCGTGGGGGGGGAGGGAGAGGAGGGATGAGGGGCGGGGAGAGACGCACAGCGGGGAGGGGGAGGTAGGGGGAAGGGACCGCCGAGTGCAACGTACGCGCGCCGCCTCAGAGAGTCAGGCGCGGAGCAGACGAGAGGGGGCGGGAGGGAAGTGGACGAACGACATTGGGCCACTACTTACAACATTAGTTCAACCCAGCCCGAAGGTCCCAGGCTTCGCCACATGTCGCGTTGAAGGGTGTAAGGGGTTCCGCGGTGTTGTCTCGATGTTTCGGAAGGTGCACCCACTGGAAATTGGCAGGCCCATCGGCGGGCAGTGTTGGGGTGGCTTGGTGAGCACTTTTTTGGAGGCCCCCTGAACTGCGGCTGCCCTGGCTTGGCGGGCGAAGTTACACGCTCTGCGAGGCCTCACCGGCTCAAATCCGTTCGGATGCAATTCCTGGGAGGTCAACTTCTGACTTTGCCCTGGTCCGAAATCCGGCTTAATAATCCGGTTTTCTCCCGCTGAATCCGGGTTAATCCCGCTAAATCCGGTTGAGGAGCGAACTTGAACTGGCGCCGTTGACAGCAGGCCCAATCCGCGGAGCCTGGTGGCCCCTCGGGGCGCCAGAGACGGGGGCACCGCGAACGGGAGCTCGGGGAGCACCGATCTCCACGTTTGGCTATTGCCCCCGTTTGGGGGGGGGCCCGGGGGCGCCGTGGACGGGGGCACGGCAGACGGGGGCTCATGGAAAAAAGCCGAAGCCCCCGTTCAGGTGAACCCCCCGCTGCGGAGCCCCGGGCCCCCCCGCGGGGCCGCCGGATCCTCGCCCCGGATCCTCGTCTTCGCTTCGGCCCCTTATGGAGCTGGGGCGCCCACGCGCGGCACGGCCTTGCGGCGGGGCCAGGCGGCGCGGCGGCCCTCGGGGCCACGGGCGACTGGCGGGTGCCCGGAGAGGCCCTGGCAGCGAGCGCGCGCTGGCAGCGAGCGCTCGCGACGGGGCCACTCGACCAGCACTGGGGAAGCGTAAGACTCGAGTAAGCTGGAATTCGGGTTTTGGAAGCGTAAGACTCGAGTAAGCGTAAGATTCGAGGAAGCCCAAGTTTTTTGACGAGCCCGTCCTGGATTTGGACGGTCCAGGTTTCGTGGGATGTTTGCAGCGGTTGCTCGCGTCAAATTGCAGACTGGGTCTCGTCATTGTCATGATGACCCCGTCAGGCCAACCCGAATCCCCCGTACCCGAGTTTTACGTCTCCCCGACAGTGTCGGTAAACGTCTCCCAGGAGGCCCTCGTCGCCACCGCTGGAGTCGTGTCGAGATTCTGGTGAGCATGCACCCCGCGAGAGGTCCAAGGGTCGAGATTATGGTCGGCATGCACCCCGCGAGAGGTCTAAGGAGTAGCGGTATCAGTACCTCTTGGTTTCCCCACCTGTGTATCCTTATCCCCATCCAGACCTCCCAACATCTCAGCCTCCCAGTTGGAGATGCACTTGTACCCTTCGAAGCCCGAAGGAAACGGCCTGCATCCCCATCCAGGGGGGCAGATTGGTCAGTGGGGCCCAGGCCACGCCCATGGGGATAGGGGTAGATCAGAGGCAACGATAGTAGGGATGGGCATGGGGGGGGATGCATCGACCCCTGATCGCTCATTGATCGCCGATCAAGGTCTAATAGCCACAATCCGCCCAGGAAGATGCGGATTCGCTGTCGGGGGCCTATCGCCGATCCATCGGCGATGTGTCGCCGCTTCCAGGTCGATGCATCTCTCTCCTTTGCCAGTCCCCCCCCTATCGTTGCCCCCCAGTAGAGGGTCGGTGGAGCGGTACTCCTCTCGAGGCGAGTGTGGCGTGCCCCTGCGCGGCACGCCGCGAGCGCCTCATCCCACCAGGGGCGGCGAGTGTAGGCGTGGGGCCACTGGCGAGCTGGGTGCATCGGGGGCAGCGTTGTCCATCGGTCGTTGAGGGTAGATATTTTTGGGTTCCAGATTCCAGTCTACTCTAAGCGCCTTCCTACCTCAGAGATCGAGTGGCTTCTCCCATTCCGTCCTCCCCAAGGGGGCGGACGGTCCTTTTTTCCGACCGAAGGGGTGGGGGAATAGGCTCAGGGTGGACTGCATGGATCCCACGTCGCCCAGAGGCGAGCGAGTGGGGGAAGTGAGAAGGAGAAGGCATTCACAGAAGGCTCGGAAGCCCCAGGGCCTTTGAGAAGTTTTCGAAGCCTTCCCCGAGGACGTGGAGCACTGCTCAGAGGGCGCGAGGGTTCTTGAGGGGTCCCGCTGCCTTCTGAGAAGGCCTTCCCCTTCTCGCGTTCCCCCCTTGCTCGGCGCCGACCAGGGATTGGGGCCCGATGCCCCATCCCGCCGAGGGACGTGCGGTTTCGCCGTCGAGGGCCCGTCGCCGATCCATCGGCGAGGCGTCGCCGATTCCAGGTCGAGGGTCCCCCCCCCACCCTGAGCCAGTCGCCCCTTATCGTTGCCCGTCAGCAGGGGAAGATACCGGCGCTGCTGTCGGAGGGGGCAGGGGGGGCAGACGATTCTGAACTATTCGGTTGCGATCGCCCGCGTGCTTCCTGTCGCGGAGCCGTGGCCACAGCAGTCCTGGCACCTGGCACCTGGCACCGGCTGGTCGCAGCAGCAGTTGTCGCTCATCCAAGGTGGCAGGCAGCGGAGCAGCCGCCGTCGGACGGGCCTGGAATCGAGATGGGTCCGTTCCAGAGCGTTCCGGAAAGCTCTCAGAGCGTTCCGGTTGGGCGTCGATGGATGTGGGGACGGCAAGTGTGGAGGGCAGAAAGGTGCGCTTGTCGGGCCATAAGGCTTCTTGTTGGGCCCTAAAGGGCCCCTTCTCTGTGGCCCTTGCTGCGCTGCCCTCCACTTGTCGCCCCCCCAGTGGGCGACACCCAAGCGGCGCCCGAGACACCCTCCAAGGCCGCCGCTTCCCAGAGATTTCTCACTTCCGTCTGTCCGATCTTGTCTCGTTTCTGACTCCTGTTTACGTCCAGCGAGCGCCTGCCCCGTACTAGCGTGTCGGGGGGCGCCATCGGAAGGGACTAGGACGAGGATACATCATTTCAAGAGCGTGCCAGAAGACTCTGAGAGCGTTCCGCACCGCTCTGAGACGGCCGCGGCGCCCGATGCATCCTCCAGAGCCGCGGGATCTCAGAGATTCTCGATTTATTCTTACCCGACTTTATCTTCGTCCCGGCTTCGTCTTGCGCCAGGCATCGGGGCTTTGGCGCTGCCGATCAACGAGACGCTGCGAGAGGGCAAGGCCCGGCGGCGGCTGGCCGCGGGGGGGGGGGGGTCTCGGGCTCTCTCGGCTGCTCTGCTGCTCCCTTCCTTTGGCTAGCCGGGCGTTTTCGCCCACGTCCGTGCCCCGGGACCCTCACAGGTCGGGCCGCCTCGGGAAGTGGCGCATGAAGATGGGGTTTCGGGCTCTGGGCGTGAATTGTTTTATTTCGATGTTGCAATTTCCTCGCTACGTCGAATCTCTGGGGACGTCAAAGTGGCCCTTCGCCAGAGTGACCTTTGGTGCGGGCGCATTGGTGTCCTCCGATGCGCCGAGCGCTATGCGACAGTAGCGTCTTGCGCGCTTGTGTGTTGGTCCCCGCGCGGCCCCAAAACACTTGTGCACCAAATGTCACTCTCTCCCAGGGTCACTGTTGCGTGTAGGCGACTAGGATTGGCGAGATCGGTTTGGAGGTGGCAACAATAATGGGTGCGTTCGATCACTAGTCACACCGCTGCCTTTGTCCGTTTTCGCCTCTGTGGGGCCTCATGGGAGGCCCTCGCCGCCACGGCTGGATTCGCCTCGAAATCCTGATCAGAACGCACCCCGGGAGAGGTCTGGGGATTAGCGGTATTTGTAATGTTAGGTTTCCACACGGCATGGGCACCCTGTACACCATCGTAATTCCGACTTCAGAGTGCCTCAGTGTCGATTCGCGTTTGGAAGTCGATGAGATAGCGCCGTCTTAACGCCGACTAGCGTCGATTAGCGCCGAATCAGCATCGATGTGCGTCAATTGGCGTCGACTAGCTTCGATCAGCGTCGATTCGCAAGGGCCAGCGAATTGATTTGGGAGACTCCCATGAGTTTCCGCAGGATGGGCGAAGATCGACAGCAGTTCCTGCCCATCTTGAAAAGTACCCGCTGTCGGCGTCGCCGCGGACATTCTTCATTTGAGACGAGAGGCCTCCTGCCAAGCAGCAACCCTTCGGTACGGTAGGTTTGCGTCGTGTCGACCAGCGGCGACCCCAGCGCGGGCGTTCAAGGTTGAACGCCGCCGGCGACCCAGAATCGTTCGATGTTGAACGATCGGACGTTGCGGCAGCGGCCGATCGTTCAAGGTTGAACGATCCCTGCGGTGTCAAAAACCAACGCTGGGGTCGGCATGACACGAACCTGCCGTAGCAACTCATGGGAGCCCTCGATGTTCTCAGAATTCCGTCATTGGAGTGCATTCGCGTGCGGTAGCATCTTGTCATCGATGATCAAACTTCAGATCTAGCATCGATCAGCGTCGATGTAGCGTAGACTAGCGTTGGTTAGCGTCACGTAACTTCGATTCGGAAGAGCCATGAAGATGACCTGGCAGGCTCCCGTGAGTTGTCACGGAGCATTCCACCTTCCCCTCCCGCCGTGAAGCCCTCGCTTCGTGGGAAATCACGACTTTCCTGTGCAGTGGCCGTTTTGAGCCTCTGGGGGAGGTGCGGGGGTCCTGGTGGTGCCAGGCCCCAGGGCCGTCAAATAACGACTCATGATGAAGTGCCGGCCCCTGGCAAGGGGTCTAGATCTATGTCTTCGTTGTTTCAACACTGGCGGTGTCGTGGAGGTGCTTGTTCTCCTCCTGGGAGGAGGAACGTGTGGAGCAGGGGTTCGGGTTCTCCCTCTAGGGGAGGAGTAGGTGGAGCAGGAGGAGGAAGAGTTGGAGAAGCGGGAAAGCAGCGGGGCGAAGGGACTTCCTGGTGGTTTCCAGGGGGAGGGGGATTTCGGGCGGCAGTATCCTCCTCATCCTGGCCCTCCTCCTGGGCCACCTCCGCCTCCTCATCCTGGTTTTCATCCTGGTCCAGCTCCGCCTCGACCACCGCCGGGTCCTCCCTGCCCTCCCCTGCTCCCGCTCCTCCTCCTGCTCCTCCGCCTCTTCTTGCGACTCGTCCTCCTCCGCTGCCGCCTCCGCCTCCGCCCCTGGCTGCAGCTGGTATGCCTCCTCCTCCTCCTCCTCCTCCTCCTCCTCCTCCTCCTCCTCCTCCTCCTGTCTTTCCCGTCGGAGGCCCCAATGCTCCCCCCACTCCTCGCCCTTCGTGGGCGCACACATATCCGTATCCACGGCCTCGCGGGCCGGGCTCCTGGGCGGCGATCCCGTAGGTACGGGACGTGCTTGTTCGGGGCTGCCCCGAGCGGAGCGTGTTCAGGCGGCCACGTATCCACGAGATCGCGCACCAGAGTCCAGACCGCGAGGCTGTGGGTGGGGATGCGCTCGTGAGTCCCCCGCGTCCTCCACACTCCCGCATGGCACTGCCTCGGGTGGCGCACAGGCAGCCCTGTTCACACAGCCCCTCGGCTGGCCCGGACAGGTCCACGGAGCAGTCCGGGACGGTCTCAGCACCTCGACCCCCGGGGGTGCGGGGCGTCCCGGCAGGGGCGCCGCCGGAGGCGGCGCCAGCGTGCTCAGACCGCCCGGGACTGACCAGGGCTTGGCATCGCTCGGACGTGTGCATTTTTCCGTCGGCGGCGAGGACCACCGAGTAGCGTCCTTGATCAGTTGGCGAAAAAGCCGCGCACGAAGTTAACAACAAAAAAGAAGCACAGGGAATGGACGTCCGAGCGATGGCCAGGGGGTGCCTGTCGAGGCCAGCCTGGACTGCGCGTGGGCCTTTGGCCGTGCGCAGCCCGAGGCCTCGCCACGCGGCCGCGCCTCCCGCGCGGGCAGGGCGGCTTCTACTCCGCGGAGAAGCACTGGTGGCTGGCGCTGCTGATCAACCCCAGGGGGGCGGGCGCCGGCGCAGAGGCCGAGGCCTCGCGCGCGCGGTCCTGCCGGCCTGCGGGCCTCGGGCACGTCAGCGTCTCCATCCCGTCGCCCTCTGCACCGCATCTCCAGTGCCGTGCACTGGTGCAGGTACATCTCGGATGATCATCGTCAGGGGAGGGCGGGTGGAGGCAGCAGGAAGTTCGGGGACACGCAGGGCTCGAGTGCGCCGGAATCTTGGCTTTGCCGACGCTGTGTGACGAGCGCGTCCTCGACGTTTGACGGTCCGGTTTTCGCTGGATGTCTGCAGCGGGAACTCGCCTCAAGTTGCAGACTGGGCGTCGTCAGGCCCACCCGAGTCCTCCGAACCCGAGTCTTACGTCTCCCCGACCGTTGGCCTTCGGGGGGTCCCTCCGCCGCCAAGGCTGGACGCGGCTCGGAGGGCCTCCGGGGGCCGACTCCGAGCAGCCGTTGCCTCCTCCGAACCTCTATCCGTCGCCCCTTTGCATCGGAGGGGGGCCCGTCGAGACAACGGCGGCGCCCCCTCGCGTTTTCCTCGTCCTGCTCGGGGTTCCTGGAGGCCTCCCCGTCACCGCGGGGCTCGATCGGCGTCGGAAGAGGGGTCAGGATGGACTCGGGGAGGGGTCTGCGGTCTGCGGTCTTGAAAGCCCCACGGTTCGTGTATCACTCACACTTGTCTGAGTTGTTGGAGTGCACACTTGTGTGATGAAGGCGCCATCGCGGATTCCCTTCAATTTTCGTGGTATCGATTCGGCGTTGCGCGGTTTGTTCTCCAGCCTCCTCTCAGCAACGTTGACGCAGGGCGATTTTTCCCACTCACACATTACGTGTGGTAACGTTGGGCGGTCCAGTATGGATCCGATTGTCGAGACGCGCCTCAAAATTGGCAGAATATTGACCTGGCAGAAGCAACGAGTTCCCCTTTCCAGCGGTTGATCGCTGGAGAAAGAGGACAGACTCGCATTTTCAGAATCGGTTTAAGGGGGTCTTTGGAAATTGGGCCGCGAAACGTGCGCGCAATAGTTCATGCAACAGTTGAAAAGGATCACCTACATCGTACGGTGCCTCGTGCCATAGTCGGGGTGCAATAGTTCACTCGCGCGAACGCAATCGTTTCTCTCTGCGATGCAATAATTTGCGTTCCCGTTTTTTTGCGAGCAAGAGTGTGCAATAACTGGCCTGCCACCATGCAATAGTTGCGTCTGATCATGCAATATGACGCGCATGTTGAGCCCGCGGGCGCAATGGTTCGCAATAGTTGCGCGCAATAGTTCCACGGTGCGAGCTATTGCAGCTGCGGTTTGCGGCCCCATTTCCAAATGCCCCATCTCCCCGGAACCACCATTGACTTGTGAAAAGGACTTGGGGTGGGAGCGTGTTTTGCAGCATCGATGATGTTGGCACAGTCTCGCGCTCTCGCGCTCGCTATTATCAGACGTCATACACCAAAGGGGTCCTGATGAAACGGGCTTCCTTCTCGGTCGGCCACTCTCGGTCGGCACCTTCTCGCAGGTCTCGGCTTCCCAAAGCGAGCGAACACACCAAACGACCTCAGGCGGGCGTCTGCTCAAGGCTAGCCCCTCGGTGGCCTGTGTTTTGTCTTTTTGTGGTTATTTTCGTCCGCGGTGTTCTGCTGTCACACCGCCACCGCGCAGGGCATCTCCTTGGTCCCGATGGACTCGTTCATGCGCATGGACCGCAGGGAGGTGGATATGTGCAGGAGGAGGATGAGGAGGACTGGGAGAAGAAGAAGGGGGAGAAGATGGATGAGTGGAGATGAGGAGGGGGGCGAGGAGGAGGAGGAGGAGGAGGAGGAGGAGGAGGAGGAGGGGGAGGAGGGGGTGGATTGGGGGGTGGACGAGGACGAGCAGAGGGGCGTCGGTGAGAGCGGTGCATGATGATGAGGGGGATCTGAAAGGGAAGAAGAGGGAGTGGGAGGATTGGGGAGGCGGAGGAGGGTTAGAGAGAAGGAGGAGGAGGAGGGGGAGGAGGAGGAGGGGGAGGAGGAGGAGGAGGATGAGAAGGAGGAGGAGGAAGAGGGAGGGGGAGTGGTAGAGGGGGACGGGTCACAAGGGGTATGGAACAGAAAGAGCGGAGAGGACGCGGGAAAGGGGTTGCCCACGGCGATGGGCAGACGGAAGGGGAATTGGGGGGGAGGGGAGGGGATGACGGGGGAGGAGGGGTAGGGGAGAAAAGGACGGGGTCCGGCATGGGAGGAGAGGGACCCTGCCCGACAGGACTGGGCCTACGAGCCGCCCGTGCGGGCGCTGCAGGCGGCCTGCTGCCAGCGCCGCGGGCCTTCTGCGTCGTCCTCCAGCCCCTCGCCCTCCTACAGGCTTCTGGTCGTCCTCCTCGACACCTGCGGCCTCATCGTCAACCTCATCCTCATGACACCGCCATCACTACTCATGATTCGTTACCATCCTCATCATCAGCATCATCATCAACACCATCATCATCACAATCAGCATCATCATCATCGACAACCTCCTCATCATCATTATCATCATCACCGCCATCATCACCATTTCATCATCATCACCATCATCATCAATATCAACATCCCAACCACCATCATCATTTCCATCACCAGCATCAGCATCATCATCACCCTTTTATCATCATCACTATTATCGACATACTCATCATCATTATCATCCAGATCATCATCATCATCATCGTCACCGCCGTCACCATGCTCACCATCAGCACCAGCATCAATTTATCAGATCCGTGAACATCACCACCATAATCATCATCCTCATCCTCATCACCATCGTCGTCATCCTCATCGCACCATCCTCGTCAGCTCATCATCGGCGTCATTATCATGTGTGCCACAGCCATCATCATCATCAGCACCATCATCATACACATCAATAGTATCATCATCATCAGCATCATCCTCATCATCATCACCGCCATCATCATCATTATCAAGCTCAGCATCATCCTCATTATTCTCATGACCATCATCACCACCACCTTCATCAGCTGATCATCATAGGCACCATCATCACCACGAGCACCATCTTCTTCACCACCATCGTCATTATCATCATCTTCGTGCCCACCACCATCACGATCATTATCAGCATCATCATCACCATCATCATCATCATCATCGTCACCAGCATCATCATCTGCATATGCATAGTCATATTCATATCCATACTCATCATCATCAGCATCATCGTCAGGAATGTTGTTGTGGGCTCTTCCTGCTTATGCTGCCCCTCCTTCTCGGTATTCTCGTTCCCGCATTCTTGGCTGACCTAGAAGCGGCCTCGTGCGCGAAGCAATTGGTGTGACGTTTGGACCTCCGCGCTCCGCGCCCAGGAATGGGTCATTCGCGTGGAGGCGCCCGACGTGGTGCGTACATAGCTACATGTGTGTAAAGATATGTTCGTATGTTTTTTTTTTTTTTTTTTTTTTTTTATTTATATATTTATTTATGTATTTATTGATTCATTCATTTATTTGTTTATATGTATATATATATATGCAGACCGTGGCCCCAATTATCCACCCTGGCAAGCGAATCAAGATTTGAGCCTCCTTGCAAGTCAGTGGCCGGGCGGGGCCAGGACGAGGATCAATATGTTCCAGAGTGTGCCGGCGCGCTGTCAGAGCAGGCCGCGGCGCACGCTACCGCCTCCAGAGCCGCCTGATCTCAGAGAGTTCTCGATTTGTCCTCGCCCGAGGTTGTCCTCGTCCTGGCTTCGCCTTGCGTGGACTGGCACTGCGCGTTCGGTTCCTGCCCCTGCGCTTTCCTCCCCTGTGGGCGCCGCCGTCCCTCCCCCCCCCGCGCGCCCCTGGCGCCCGCGGTGCCGCACAGGACGGCGAGGCCGAGGCGTATCCGGTGGAGGCCGGCCCGGCCCTGCCGGGTCTCGGGCCCTCTACAGGAGGCAGATGCAGAAATACTCAAGCAATGGTCCGAGGACCATTTTTCGATTATTTGTTGACTATTATGGGGCATTTTTGGGCTATGTTGTATGTTTCTTCCAAAAGCGCCCTGTAGGAGGACATGTCCGACCTAAACCTAGGCTTCTGAGATGGGGTCGGAGTAGGCGGTGTCGGGGGATCGCGCCGCATCGCCGATGCATCACTGATGCGGCTTGTTTTGGAGCCCGAGTTTCTTCGCGCTGACGTCGTCGACGATGCATCGCTGGTGCATCGCCGATGCATCGCCGATGCGTCGCGATCCCCCGATCCCATCTACTCCGACCCCATCTAGAAGGCCTCTGGCTGGTCAGTGCAAACGGGGGTAAGTCAGAGCGCCGGATCTTGCAGGGTCAGGGCTGCGCTGACCTTGGCTTGGGTGCAGGATCCTGCAGGGTCCTGCAGGATCCTGCAAAGCCTGGCTGACCTGGGTCTGGATTGACCCGGGGTCAGTAGATCCCCAAACGGAGGGGGCTCCGTTGCCCTCTTGCCGCTTTGCCTGGGCCTTCGGAGTCGGGGGCTTCTGAGATTAGGGATAGGTGCCCGTACCACTGCCTTTCCCTCGTTTTCGCCTCCTTGGGCCTCCGGGGAGCCCCTCGTCGCCATCGCTGGATTCGCTTCGAAACTCTGGTCAGAACGCACCCCAGGAGAGGTCCGAAGGGTAGCTGTATCGGTACCAGGTGGCTGTTGTTGTTGCAGTCTTGGTAGCATAATGAGTATGAGCAGTTTTCCAAGATTACCGTTGCATCTTTGCCCCCTTCGGCCCATCCCTGGCAACTTTCGCGGGTCAGCTTCGTCCGAAAAACGTCAACATGGCCGTCCAAGGCCCATGCATCCTTATTCACGTGCATCCTTATCATGCGCCTCGACCGTAGGCCGTGCTGGGCCATTGCCGGTTGGGCCGGCTCTAGTTTTAGGAGTCAGTGTTCAGTATCCACATCCGCCTTCCGCGCGTGCCGTGTCAGCGCCGGTGAGGCCGGCATCACGTCAGCAACCCGGCATCGGGTTAACCCCACGTGCGCCAGGCCCATTGCCAGTGGGGGCCGCGATACAGTCAAGACGTTGAGATAAGTAACCCCATACCCACGATAATAATGTACTCCCCCCCTATACAAATAAGAGTTGATTATCCACGGCCAATAAGAGTTTGGTCGGGGGCGCGGGGGCGCGGAGGCCGAACTTCATTATCACGGGGAAAAGTTCGCCATCAAGCGAAACAAGCAATGCTTTAGGAGTCCTGTCGTTCTCTTCTCCTTCTCTTCTCCTCCTTCTCCTCCCCCTCCTCTCTCTTTCTTCTCTCTTACCTCTCGTTCAATATGTTTGTTTACTTTCTGTCTCTTTGTATCTCTTTATGTCTGTCTTTCTTTTTTGTTTCTCTCTCTCTCTCTCTCACTTTCCTTCTCCTCCTCCCCGTGGCCCCTGAACTTGTTTATCGCTGTGCTTTATTGTCCGAGGAAACCGAGGCAGATGAGCTACCCTACACGAGCAGATGAAACTTATAATTTTTCGTTAAACGTTCACAAATTTAATCGAATCAGTTTTGAACTTTAGATTTTTGCTATCTCCTTCTCCTCTCCTCCTCTTGCTGTTTCTCCTCGTCCTCTTCCTCCTCCTCTTCCTCCTCTACCTCCTCTTCCTCTTCCTCCTCTACCTCCTCTTCTCTTTCTATCTTTCTATGTATCTCTTCATGTCTCAAGCGAAACGAGAGATTAGTCGAGGATGTCTCAAGTGAGACAAGCCATTGTTGAGGATGTCTCAGAGAGGGCAAATAGCCAAGGATGTCTCAAGATATCCTTGGCGTTGGCTCCTCTGTTAACATCTTTATGCTGGCCTCTGGTGGATACTTTTATTATCGCACCGTAACCGCCGAACTTTATTATCCCAGGGGGTTATTATCGGCTGTTTGTGGTTAACAGTTTGGCTTCGGAAGGGGCTCGATGTTCCTTAGGTTGGTGCTGCTCCTCTTGCCCTCCTGGTGCGCGGAGGCGCTTAAAATGCCAAGAAGGGGCTTCGTTCCTTATGTTGCGTTCCTTCTCAGCGGCCCGACTCTAGGTTAACCCACCCGGCATCATGTTAAACTGGGGAGGTGTATTTGGCCCGCCTGCCCCCCAGCCCCTGCCCCCTCGGTTACCCTGACCTTGTCGGTTGCGCATGTCCGAGCGGGTAGCGCGGGCCGCCTGCCGCCTGTCTGGTCGGCGGCGAAATCCGAGCGCTGCCCTCGCCGACCAACGAGTCGGGCACCTCGATGGGCGGCGGGGGCAGGTATGGTTCGGATGCAACTCCTGTGAGGTCAAATTCTGGTTTTGCCGTGGTCCGAAATCCCGCTTGATCCTGCTCAATCCCGCCTAAACCCGCTTCATCCGGCTTGATCCCGCTTAATCCCGGCGAATCTGGCTTAATCCCGCTTGATCCGAGGCCCACTCTGGCCTTAACAGCCCCCCAATGGGGCTTAATCCTCCTTGATCTTTCCGACAAAAACCTCCCAGTAGTTGCCTCCTAAGGTATGGGCATTTGTCGAACACGTGGCGAAATTTGAAGCCTATCCCCTCTCCTCCCATCGATTCAGAAGGAGGGGGTAGGGTTCGGAAGTCGCCACCTGGGGGTCGGAGTAGATCAGGTCGCAGGATCGCTCCGCATCGCCGATGCATCGCCGATGCTCAATGTGGATCCGCAATTTCCCCACGCCGAGTCGCCGATGCATCGCCGATGCATCGCCGAGTCCTCCGACACCGTCTTCTCGGTCTCCATCTCGGAGGCTTCTAGTGACCTTCCTGCCACTTCGGGGGTGGCTCAAGCGAGCAGCAGCAGCCGGAGGATCGAATAACAAAAATGACGGCACGGACAGACATACAATCTATCAGAGGTTCGCGCGGGTTTTGTTCGATCGGCGTTGGGCCTCGCTGACGCCTTCGTCGCCGCCCCTGGCGCGGTCCGCTCGCAAGATGGTCTAGCGCCGATCCAAGGCATTCGCGCCGCCTTCCGAGAACGTGCTGCAGGTCTTTGTTCTTCTGGAGGAGGGAGGGTACCGATGCCGCCGCTCGTCATGCGGTGCCCTCGTCGCCACGGCCGCATTCTCCTCGAGTTTCCTGTCAGGCAGCGCCCTGGGAGATGTCTGGGGAGTGGCGGTATCGGCGCCATGTCGTTTCCACAGGCAGGATGGGGCAGGGAGTGGATGTTTGGGGAGGGGAGGACTTCCCCTGACCCCTTCCCAGTCCTTCGCCCTCCCATCCTCCTTCGCCCCCTCTATCTGTCTCTCGTGCTGTCTTTCTCTGTATATCTTTCTCTCGTTTAATCTATCTCTCTCTCTCTCTTTCTGTGTCTCAATCTCTGTCTCTTTCGCGCCCTCCCTCCCTCTCCTTCCCCGCCAGGTGCACATCCGCCAAACTTCCTGCCCTGCGCACTCCCCCGTGCCGCCGTTGCAGCTGCGGCTGTGGCGCACCCCCCCCCTTCTCCCGAGCTGTTCCTCCCCCCTTCCCTAATCCCTAATGGCCATCAAACAATATCGACGTGATGATCCGTTGGCCTCCAAACAGAATTCACGGATCGGGGTGGGGCACAGCTCGTCTGGCTGGCACTACTCGTCACACCCGTTGGAAGCTCTTTCCTTTGAAGAGATGCGATAAGTTGCCACCTTGGCGTTTGCACAGTCCCCTGCAATTCCGCTCAACACGGCCCACTCAGGCTTAATCCTAGGTCCCATGCTCAGTCTGGGCCACTACTCCGCCTTCATGGCCTCTCTCTCGGGCTTTTTGGCCCGATGGCTCTGAATCGTTCCTACTAAGACCTCCCTCAGAGTACCGAATCATCAGGGCTGGGGATGGTCAGGTGTATCTCCAGATTCGTGCCTGGGGGGCCGAAACCCAAGTTGCCCTGGACTGGAGTTATCCCCGATAATTTAGGCGTCCAACCCTGCCCGAATCATCTGGGCCAGGGGGGCCCAGGGGTGTCTCCCGGTTCCTGCGTCGGAGGCACTACCCAGAATTGCCCCGGACCAGAGTCATCCCTCATGATTCGGGCGTCCTCCGAGAAGTTGCCTCCGAACTCCTTCGTGCCTGGGCCGTGCCTCCCCCAGGCAAGAAGTCAGGAGCAACGATAGGCTCACGACAGGCTCCTATTCCATTGTGAGTAAAAGAACCAGCCTTTCCACACTATCCAGAAGACGTGGCCCAAAGTATGTCACCGCCTTTACATTTATCCATTCTGCTGGGTGGTCTGGCTTGATACATCTTCTTGAAGACGCCTTATCCCTCATGCTTTGGGCCTCTTACTCAGGCCCGCTCCGAAAGTGCTAGCGGTCCCTCGATTCCTAATGGCCTTTTGCCCATTGATCGTCGCGAGGGGCCTGACGGCCCCAACCCGCCCAGAAGCCCGCGGATGCGCTGTCGGAGGGCGTATCGCCGATCGCCGGTACATCGGCGAGGCACCGCCGATTCCAGGTCGGTCGCCCACCACCCCGAGCCAGTCCCCCCTCCCGTGCCGTTGCCCCTCACCGCAGGGGACGAGGCAGGCGCTGCCTTCGGGGGGGGCCGTTTGGGGCAGGCGATCCTGAACGAGTGTCTTGATGTAGCCTGTGCTCGGAGATGGATCAACCTCCTACCCTGACACGTCGATTAAGGAATTGGCCATTGTCGGTTCGCGAGAGGGCGTCGCGGCCGTCATTTTTGCGGGTCCAGGTCCGTCGGTTTCGGTTTTGGGCAGTTTTCACTAAGGAGAGGTGTACTCAAGGGAGTTTTGTCCACCGCCGAAACGGCGGGGCTTCTCAGGAGCCTTCTGGCCTTCTGAGTAGTTTTCCGCGTCTTCGGGGAAGGTGCAGAAGACCTCTCCGGAAGGCCGGGGGACTCCCGAGCCTTCTGAGGGGGCCCGTTCCCTCTCGCTTCCCCTCTGGGCGCGCCGCCGAGTAGTCCGAGCTGTCTCATTCCCAGCGGGCCAGGGTATCTCAGCCGCACCATCACACCGACCCAGCCGGGGAATTGCCGCGCGAAGCCAGGAGGGTTCAGCCCACATCCTCTATATCTAGGGAGGAGCGATCGGCCAGTGGGGCTCAGGCCACGCCAGTCGGGGCAGGGATCGGTGGAGCGATGCTCATTCGTGCTCCCTCCCTTTCCTCGCGCTCTCGCTTCCCCTCCGGGCGCGCGCCGCCTAACGGCAGTGTCCACCCCCCACCCGGTATCGCTGCCCCCCGGGACAGGTCAAGGGCTTCACCCGCGAGGGCTTCATGGCCCGCGTCCGCTTCCGCGCCTCCGGCGACGGCTCCCGCGGAGCGCCGCGGGCTCCTCCTTCGCGGCCATCCCATGGTCTTGGGTCTCCCTCTCCCCATCCCTTCTCCTTCAACGCTTTCCTCCTCCTCCTCCTCGTCCTCCTCCTCCTCCCTCGTCCTGCCTCCTCCTCCCTCCTCCGTCCTCCCTCCTCCTCCCTCCTCCTCTTCCCTTCTCCTTCCTCCTTCTTCCTCGCTTCTGCCAGATCTGCCTGTTCCTCCTCCTCATCCTCCTCATCCTCCTTCCCGCCCTCCCTCGCTCCCTCCCTCGGACATTGGCCTGTCTATGTAACGGGCCGCGTCGCTCAAGTAGGCAACATTGGCAGGCGACAGTTCTATCGCGGCACTCCGCATTCTTTCCATTATTCGACCACGTTGCTCGCTTCGAGTGTGTCGGTCAGGTCCCTGCCTGCCTCCCTTCCCTCGTCCACCGCGCCGCTCTCGCCGCCCCTGGGCGCGGACCCAGGTCGCCCAGGTGGGGTCCACGCCCAGCAGGGGCAGCGATAAGGGGTGGGGGACAGGCTCAGGGGGCGACGCACCGACGCTGGGGTCAAGGGTCTGGGGGTGTTCGAGGCTCGAGGTTCTCGGGCGTGCTCGTAGGCTCTCGGTGGTGTTCCGGCGGCCACGCCTCGCCGAGGGCGCTCCGGGGGGGGGCCTGCGCCTTCCCGACCAGGCGGCGCAGAGCCGAGCTGTGGCCCGACAGCCACGGGGGCAACGCTCGGGGGGGGATGGGCTCCGTGGGCGATGCATCGACCCCCAATCGCGCATGGACCGCCGTCAGGGGCCCGGCAACACAGCCCCCCCCCGCCCGCTATTCGGGGGGCCTGTCGCCGATCTACGGGTGAGTTACATCTATATCTATTTACATACATACATTATTATGTATATGCACATATATATATATATATATATATATATATAAGAAAGAGCGTGTTCTACCGCTGCTGGCGGAAAACTGGGGGGGGTCACTACCGGTTCGAACCCCTCCCCCCCCCCCCCTCTCCGGAAAACCGGGGGGGTCACTACCGGTTCGAACCCCTCCCCCCCCCCCCCAGCTCATCATGAAAAGGGGGGGGGGTCACTACCGGTTCGAACCCCCCCCCCCCCTCGAAAACCGAGTGGGGGTGCGGACAGTGGTGGGGACGGTGTTGGTGGGGACAGTGGTGAGGGGACAGCGGGACAGTGGTGGGGACAGCGGGGGGACAGTGGGACAGTGGTGGGGACGGTAGTGGTGGGGACAGTGGTGGGGACAATGGTGGGAACAGGGGGGACAGTGGACAGTGGTGGGAACGGTGGTGGTGGGGACAGTGGTGTGGGGACAGTGGGAATGAGGTGGAAACACTGGGACAGTGGAGGGTACAATGGTGGTGGAGACACTGGTAAAGGCGGTGGCGAGGACGGCGGTGGGACAATGGGACAGAGGTACAGTGGGGACAGTGGTGGGGACAGTGGGGACAGTGGTGGAAACAGTGGGACAGCTCAGTGGGACAGCGGAGGAGTCAGTGGGACAGTGGGGACAATGGGGATAGGCAGTGGTTGGGTCCGTGGAGACAGTGGGGAGAGTGGAACCGTGGTGGGAACAGTTGTGGGAACAGTGGGGACAGTGCGACAGTGGTGGGGGCATTGGTGGGGACAATAGGGACGGTGGTGGAACCAGTGGGGACAGTGGTGGTGAGGACAGTGGTGCTGGGAACAACAGTGGGGGATGTGATGCGAGCGGTGGTAGGGACCGGGAGTCGTTTGCTGGCGGTGCGTGGGGGGGGGGGGTCGAACCGGTAGTGACCCCCCTCCGGTTTTCGAGGGGGGGGGGGGGGGGGGGTTCCCGGTAGTGACCCCCCCGGTTTTCCGGATCCGGAGGGGGGGGGGGGGGGGGATGGGGTTCGAACCGGTAGTGACCCCCCCCCGGTTTTCGAGGGGGAGGGGGGGGGGGGGGGGAGGGGTTAGGGGAGGGGGGGGGGTTTTGCCAGGAAGGAGGGGGGGGGGGGGGGAGGGTTCCGGCAGGGGGGGGGGGGGGAGGGATTTTCGGAGGGGGAGGGGGGGGGGACCCCCGGGTTCCGGAGAAAAGGTTTGGCAATTTTCCACAGTAAAGCGGCGGGTGGATCAACGCCTCCTCATATATATATAAATGTGTATGTATATATGTATGCATATACGTCAGATCCAGGCTCCCCATCCAGACGTGGTCGCGCCGGGAAGCAAAGAGACAGGACGGGAGGCCTTCCTCCGTGTTCGGCCTCTGGGGACCGTCGCCGGCCCACGGGGAGCAGCGCGGCCTGGAGCGAGCCACCTGGCCCGGAGGGGGGCCAGGCCTTCCATGGACCTCCTCCTCCTCCTCCTCCTCCTCCGCCCTCCTCTCCTCCTCCTCCTCCTCCTCCTCCTCCTCCCCTTCCTCCTCCTCCTCTTCCTTCGGCTCCTCCTCCTCCTCCTCCTCCTCCTCCTCCTCCCGTATGTGAATCGGGGGTTCCCAAACGGGGTGGTGGCCACGCCGTGCGGTGAGTCGGTGGGGTTTCGGGGTCGCCGCACGGTTTTGGGACTCGGGCCGTTCTCCGAGGACGTCTCGGGCGATGGGGGCAGCCGAGGTCCCAAGACCGTGCGGTGACGGACCGTGCGGTGAGGTCTTGGGGGACTTCGAGGTCACCGTACGGTCTGTCACCGCACCGTTTCGGGACACCCAAACCAAACACGACATCGCGTGTCTGGTGAGTGGGGCCCGGTCCCAGATCTCCAGCGACACGTTCTTGTCTCTCGTCGCATGCCGCTAGAGGGTGCTCAGACGGGCAAGGCGGACACGGACGAATCCCTCAAGGGGGCGAACGGGGAGTCCTGGACAACCTGGTCCGGCAGACGTGTCGCGTGAGACTTCCTCACCACGTATTCAGGGAGCGCTTTGTCACCCCAACGGCCAGGATCTTGTGTAAATCACCGAGCGCGGTCCACTACTCGCGAAGTGCCTACTCGCAAACGTCCGAAAAACACCTCTCTGCTTTGACGTAATTTATCGTAGATCCCTGGCGGGGAATCCAGGCCATTTGCGAGTAGTTACTCCAGATTTCGTAATAAAGGGAGGGGGGTCTCATTTCGGGGGGGGTCTCTTCCAGGCTATCTTGGAGGGCCTGGGGGGGTCTGGGGACGATGTTTTGCAGGGTTCTCCCACGGGGGAGGTCTGAAATGGCTTGTCTTGGAGGGTCCAGACCCCCTCCCTTGTATTACGAAATCTGGAGTACTTTGCGAGTAGTGGAACGCGCCCGTCGAGTAAAAGCAAACGGCAGGTGCACATGGCCGTGCTCTCACCCCTGTCCTGGCACGTTTTCATTCGCCGAGCTCCTACCTGCCTCTCCACCTCCACTGCTATGGGAGTGCTTTGATGGAGTCAGTTGTTCAGTCCCGTCGTTTTCATGCAATTTCGGCCTCCGAGGCTGGTCATCGGGCCCCAGGACCATCAAACGTGGATCTGGGTCGAAGACTGCCCTGGGGAATCGGGCCGGGGCGCGGATGTCATGGGGCAGAGCAAGTGTCTGTTTTTTTCTCGCAATGACGGCCGTTGTCGGGGGAGGGCGATGGGGCCAGCCACGTTGCGATTCGCGCCGACGCCGTCTCGGTGTCACCTGCCCTTGGCCATTCCCAGACCGCTCTGTCGCGAATCGTGACGTTACCGGGGAAGTGGGGCGGCGCCAGCGCGTATCGGTAGCAAAAACGCGCTCGTAGACAGGGTTGGATGATTTCGCCGCATTTCCGATGCATCTTCGCATCGGCGATGCGGCCCGTCATCATGGAGTGCGCTTTTCTCCAACCCTAGAGGGGGAACAATGCATTTTCGGACCTCCGGGAAGATTTCTTCGATAAGAGCTGGGCCCCCCTCCGCGGCGCGCGGAGCGCGCCTAGGGCGGCGCCAGAGGCGCTGCCAGGGGGCCTCAGGCGCCGATCCAAGAGATCCTCGCGGAGCCCTGAAAGTTTTTGTTTATGTCATCCTTCCGCCTGCGGCTTCCTTGCCCTATCCGCGCCTGTCCTGTTGTGGCCTAAGCAGCAGGTCCCGAAGCGTCCTTCGGCTGCCCCGACCGACCCACGTGGCCGCTGACAAAAAAAGCTGATGCCGTTGTGTGCCCCTTTGCTCTTTGCCAAGGCGGTGACGGAACTTGGGAGGTTCCCTCCCTGGCGGTGCCGGACTTGGTTTTGGCGCGCCACGCGCCAGGGAAGGGACACTTCGCCCTCCGTCGTTTTTCCGCGTTTCGTCCCCCCTTCTGGCCTCGACGACTGCCGCTCGGTTGCTCGGTGCCCAGCGGTCGCTGCATCACCTGGAAGGATCGGGGAAACGGGAAACGTGGGGCTCGAGTGCGCCTCCCGACTTCGGGTCTGCCGACGGTGTTCTCGTGGGTTGTCTGCAGCGAGTTCGCGTCAAATTTCTGACTGGGTCTTGTCTTTTTCGTGACAGCCCTGTCTGGCCAACCCCGTCAACCCGAGTCCCCCGATCCCGGGTCTTGCGTCTCCCCGAAAGGAGGGCTCGTGCATTCACATCGTCGCTTTCCTGCACGCACGTGTTTGCGAGCGAGTGTGCGACGCTTGACACCTTGTTGGGGCAACTGTAGTCTCTGACCATGACATTGTGTGGAAGTGTGTTGGTCCTTCCCTTCCGTGGCCTTGCTGTCTTCACATGGCCATGAACATACAGGGCGTGGTGAGATTCAAGTGTGTACGAACTTACGGGATTGAGAAATTTGGAGCGGACTTGCACGCGACAGTTTTTCGAGGGGCGCACACGGCTCTGCCTCGCAGCCGTATCCAGACAATAGTTGAGGCAAGAGCAACCGAGACACGTCGGACGTCTAGTATGTCGTCGGGTTCTGTCTCAGCCAACCCTTCGCTCATATGAGCGACGCAAGGGAGCGGAGTCGTCTGCACCGACATTGGCGCGTAAGTTTCCCGAATGCAATCGCGCGTAAGCGACTTCGCTTCCAATGTGGCGTGCCGCGCTGGCGGCCCGCCTCAGCCACCGCGTAAGGTCGCTGAAGTCAAGGCGCTGAACAGGGAC